CTAAAGTAATTCCAAATGTAGGCTTTCCATAGTTACAATGCTAAGAACCAATCTTGTCATTATTAGGTTTACAAAGGGAGAAAATTTAGTGTAGTTTACACCTTTTGTTGACATCACTTCAAAAGAAAGTTTCCTTGTATAACTTATTATCATCGAGCTATACTTTTACCTGACACAACCATCTCTTGTGAAGTGCTCTCTTCCCATTTTATAATAGAGTTAGTTATGAAAATTGATCATTGTGCAAAAAAATCAACTCATATTTTATAGCTAGCTCCAACTGAACTCTTTTGATTCAATAGTTTCCAGACAAAAGTCTAATTCACCTTCATCTAAACCAATCTTTAGATTTCGTTGACCTCCTTGGCAGAAATAACAAATATGTAATGTACCCCTTTTCTCATCATCTTCATAAGTTTTACCTTATGTTGAACTCCTGGTTGAGTTCTTCAAACAATTTCTTCAAGCTCTGTTGGCTCTTTTTTTTTTCTCAACATATTATTTTTTTCTCAATCTAGAGTTCCTCTACCAGTTGATAATCAAGTGGGATGGCCCCTACTTATCAAATGAGTAGTTGTGCTTACTTCATCAACCCATAACATCTTACATAAACCAACAAAGTCTCAATGCTTCTTGCAGGCTTAGTCAATGTTCTGATCATACATTTGATGAAACAACTTTGCTATGGAATATTGATAACCGTATTCTACATTAAAATACCCTACTCATAATAAAAAAATTGCACTTGTTATATTGACCTCTTTTGTCTGACCTCAAGCACTTAGTGTTGCACTAGTCTCACTTTCAACAAGATTCTTGCACATCTTGAATGTATCAAAACATTAAGTTTATTTCATAAAATAAACATATATATTCCACATCAAGAAATCAATGAAAGTGAAATTATACCTTCTACCTCAAACCTCCAAAGAGTGAGACTAGATAAGATCCCACGCATTTGTCCCAAATCTAACTTGTACGCTTGGGCACACCCTATTGTGAGAACCAGACTTACTTTTTGAGAATGAAGTCTTCACATAGACCCATACCGACTAATTTCACACACAACATCACATACCCTTTCAAGCATTTTCATCGTCCTGTCACTCATGTGTTAGGTGATAAGGCTTGTCATTGCATCAACTTCTCTGGCAACACGAAAATTACCAAGTACCTTTAGACTATCAGCGCGATCTTCTCATTCAGAATATTGAATGCGAAAATTAGGGCTAGTGTCACTTAGATGATGCCCAAGGCTTGTTGATCCAACAATCCAAAGACTTTTGTCTCAATCCCTTTTGTTGTATCCTAAGGGGCTGATGAAGCTTCTCCATGAGAATTCCTTTTGACTATGCCTTCTAAAATCCAAGTATTTCCCATCAAACTTCTCAATCTAGACTCCACGACAGCTCCAACTTTCCTTCTAGAATCATGCGCAATAGACTAGCGTGCCCTACGATCTTGAGGTTCTCATAATGACTATCAGGAACACGACTCTATTTGATCTTCCACACACATTGGACACCAACGTGAATTGAGAGACCCTAGGGAAAAGAGATGGATGAAGAGAAGAAAGACCTCACTTGATTTTAATGTGATCTGGAATGTAGTCCTACTCCACAGCTGCAAGAATCATTTCTTTTTCTTTTTCCTTTTCGTGTAGAACAATGACCTAGAAGAACTGAGACAGACAGAGTGAGAGAGAGAGAGAGAGAAAGAAAGAGAAACCATAGTCAAGCCCCAATCTACTCTCAAAATCCTAACCCAAGAAACGCTTAAGATCTGTAGCCTTATCCACAACAAGACTCTTACAGTAGATGGCTTGATCCCTCTTAAGATGCATCAATAGTTCTTTTAAGACTGGTCATGCAATTATCAACACCCACTTACTTGGAGTTTTGTATCCACAACTCGACACTTAGGTCTTGCAATTATATATGAACCCACTCCAATAATTGTCAACTAATTTTGAGGGGAATGGCTTTACTCATATTAAATGTGTCAGAACTCATGGTTATGCTGTATTTGTATTACAGTATTAGGAGAGATAGGTCAGATGAGGAGAGATAGGGGAGACAGAGACGGAGACAGACGAGTGGAATGGGGAGAATGACAGAAGAACCGGAAGGAGGGTAGACGTATCACTCGGCACACGAGCGAAACAGCGTGGCTCGAGGTAGAGAGGCGTTAGGACGAGAGAAGAGTGGAGACACCAAGCTCCAGGAGCACCACCATATTTGTCTAGAGATTTTTGCATGGTTTGTAGTTGTTAAGTTAGGAAACCCTACTAATTTAGGTAAACGATGTCCTCTGTCACTATGAGAGACAACAATTTGCCGATGACTTTGATGACGTAACGACACGGCTGCAGAGCTCCCCTTTGCCGTGAGAGGCGACGGCATCCGGCACCGGCCTCCACCGATTACCTTCATTGTGGACAATCATAGCAATCTGGTCATTATGGTGGTCTACCTGAAAAGATGACAGATTGATTAATTGATTGAAAATGTAGACGTTGAGAGTGAGAGAAGGGACTACATTAGACGTATCTCGACGTACCTTAGGAGAGAGTGGAGGGAAGGGAAGAGAGAAAGAGAGAGAGAGAGAGAGAGAGAGAGAGAGGCACTAAAAGTGGAGGACACTGAATATCAACATCATTTACGCCCGCCCTTCATACGATGTGGCGCAAAGAGTAGAGAGAAGAGGGAAGAGAGAGAAACAATAATTTAGGTGTTGACAATTAGTTAGGGCTCCCCAACAACAGGCCTAATTTCATCTTGTACCGGGCTTTAAATAGGAATCTAACTGATCGTTCTCTCGCTCGTCGACACGCTGCCGTTTGGCTGATTTCTGAAAGGCACGCCCTATTCTAGGAGCCGATCCATCACCGTCAACAGGCCTAACTAGTGCAAATAACTTTGACTTTGGCCGCTCTCTAACATCCACACTTCGTCGTGATCTTCTCTCTCGACTCCGTCAGCCTTATTTCTAAGCTTGGACCTGGAAATGCCGGCCCCGGACACCCCACTAATCGTTTTCCCTTTGATTACTTTTTCGGACTTTATCATTGCCCGGGACCTGCTAGAAATCTTTTGGGCTTTGATTGAAAAGCTATGCGCCGAACAAAGTCAAAAAGAACCGCAAGAGTCAATTCGTGGAACGTTTGTCATGTTCAGACAACGGGTCAACTCGGGCGACGGGGCTTTTCGACATCCAGAGGCGATGTCATCGCGTTTCTGCGGCGTAAGGCCGGGTAGGTTAACCGAACGGGAAGAACTTTCTGGGTGGCCGGCAGCCGACTACTTATTGCAGGCACCAACTGGTGGCAGCCTCCGCCCATTTGAAAGCTTGGTAGACCGGAGAGAGAAAGAGAGAGAAGAGGTCGTCTTCTACCGCTCCGGCAAGCTCTAGTTATGTGAGAGGTCGCGTAGATCTCTGAACTAGCAACAGTCACCTCATCTGTCCACTCCACCTCGGCGGCTCCTGTTTTGGCGACTTCAGAGGGGTCCTGCTGTTCTTTGCACATGGAAGGGGGATTGCAGAGACCTCTCTCTCTCTGACTCGCTCGCTCTCACTCTCATTTTCATTCGCTCACTCTAACCCAATCTATCTTCCTTCCTCCCTCGCTCTCACTCTCTCTCTCCTTCGCTCGCACTCTCTCTCTCTCTCTCTCGCTCTCGTTCTCATTCACTCATTCTCACTCTCACTCTCTCTCCTTCGCTTTCTTTCTGATTCGTTCACTCTCTCGCTCTCTCTGCGCTCTGACTCTCACCCTCTTGTCTCTCTACCTCTCTCTCTCTCTCTCTCTCTCTCTCTCTCTCTCTCTCTCTCTCTCTCTCTCTCTCTCTCTCTCTCTCTCTCTCTCTCTCTCGCTCGCTCGCTCTCCGGTCTACCGAGTATACTGGGGACAATCTCTTCTGACCACAACTGTTTACGGGAGTCCCGTCTGATATCACTGCTAATTCAACAAGGGGACATGAAAGATGTTCAGGCAGGGAGGAAAATAAATGGAGTGAGATAGAGAGAGCTTCTTTACTCATTGTTCCTCAACGATAGGAACATAAAATTATGATAATTATAGAAACATCCTCAATATTGCGCGGTATTTGTTAATCTCAGAATTTTGGGTGCAGTTCTTTGGCAAAATTGCCCGGCTATCTCAGACAGAGGAAGTAGAAATATACAGAGAGAGAGAGAGAGAGAGAGAGAGAAGAAAAATACCCCATTGAGAAGTCACGTGGCTTATACATTTCTATCGTTTATGTGGTAGTAGTCCACGTGTCTTCTTCTATCTATCCCTATCTCGTTGACATGCGATGGAGGGCCAGAACCGGAGCTCATTTTGAATAGTCATTCCGTTGACTTTTTCCATCAGAGCCGCACGCGGCCGCCGCGGCGGGATTGAAGAGAATAAGTCGTAGGACGACTATGGATGCGGTGGGTACTCTCTCTCTCTCGCTCGATTGTTTTCTCTGTCGATACATTCAGTGATGTCAAACGCGACGCCAGCATAAATGTCTTCAATTCTCGTGGCCGCCCGGGAAGCAGGTCTTCCTGGGAAGCCACGCCCGTTCTCTTCTCTCTCCTCTCCCGCCGCTTTCTTCTCTTTCCCCACGTTAATCCATCGGCTTCCGCGGAATAGTCGGCAGTATATTTTCCTCCTCCCCCCCGCCTGGTATGTTCCTCGTGGACAGGTGCCGGGGGAGAACAGGGGGGTATAGAGAGAGGGAGTCCCTGATTTCCCTCCCGTCGACCATCGCAGGAGAAAGTCCACCTGATATTTTGGGGGTATCAGGGAGAGAGCTCGAGGAACCCTTCGACGCGTCCTCCGTGTTGATGGAACACCGGTGGTCCTTGGGCTTCTTCTACCCCTCCAGATTCCTCGTCTTCTCTCATTAGAAAAGAGAGAGGGAGAGACAAGGCTTTCCTCTGCGGTTTATTCGCCCAAAGGGTCTGCGAGGTTGTCCGTGCTCCGCGCGCCCTCTTATAGAAAATTTGCGATGGCGACCGACGGCGCCGTCATGTTCACCGACGAGGAATTGAGCGAGATAGCCGGCCTCAAACGCGGCGAGGGCTACATTGAAGTGACCTGTGGGTGCACCAGCCGCCGCTATGGTGATGCCGTCGGCAGGCTGCGGGTCTTCGCTTCTGGGGACCTCGAGATCTCCTGCGACTGCACCCCCGGCTGTCAGGAAGGTGAGGGCCTCTCTCTCTCTCTCTCTCTCTCTCTCTCTCTCTCTCTCTCTCTCTTTCTCCCTCCATTTCCCTCTCTCCTCTCTCCCGGTGATCTGCTTGCATGATGGTTTTTTTTTCTGGTTCTTCTTGATACGGCGGTGTTAATATGTGCGCGCTTTCTGTTTGATGATACGTCCGGTTGACATCGTTGACCATGTTTCTGCTCATGGATGGGATCTCGTCCTCCCATCCATGCAAGGTGCTCATCTTCGTCGTCAGCCAGTTTCAAGGGGGCCGTGGATGACGATGGTAGAGGAGCCATCCCACACGTCGTCGTCTTCCTCATCACCACTCACCGGAACCGCCGGCATCTTTCTCTCACACATTTTTCTCTCCTATTTCTCTCTCTTACGTGTGCATACGCATATTTTAGCATATAGAGAGAGAAAGAGATGGTCTCCGCCCAGCTACGCCATCAACCCAGTTAGAACGCTCTGACAACGTGACGGTCTGTTGCATATACACCATTTCATGTTTGTCCTCTCTCTCTCTCTCTCTCCCCTGTTTAAGCTGGCTTGGCTTGTGGGATGGATGATGGTGCGGGGTGGGGGGCTCCCCTCTCACGCCCACGATGGTTTTCTCTTATATTTTAACTCCCCTTATGATCTCATTTCTAAAAATAGGAGTATCGCTCCAGACTTTTACTCTCTCTCTCTCTCTCTCTCTCTCCAGACTTCCTTTCTCTTCTGTCTCAGCTGGCTGGGTTTGTGATGGCATGGCGTTTTCTTTTGTCTAGAAATATGTGTATCCGAGACGTGGGCTTTGGATTCGGAGTGATTCTCCCAAAGATCGAAACTTTATGCTTTCGTCCGGCGACTGATCCAGTGAAGAGAACGACCCATTGAGAGCTTGTCTCGGGTTGTCTTCCTCTGCGCTCTCGTTCTCTTCTTACTATTTTTGGCCTGCGTCGGTGCGACGATCATCCGAACAAAGGCTCTGATAAAGTTGATACCTTTAGTTATGAACCCATGCCGCTGTTGAGAGTTTGATCTCGTCTCACGTATGAACTATTTTTAGAAATCTATATTAATATGGAAAGTACTGTTTTGTGGGGCAGGAAGAGGGGTCCGCCTTTCTCAGGAAATCAGAATATTCGGATGCCACTGTTTTATTAAAAAGCAGGGATATTTGGTTCATTTATTTCGAACGTGAGTGTTTCTCTGGAGCCATGGAGTGTGGGGGATCCTCCAGGCCATACATAGAGCTTATACCATGGAATTTCATCTCTTTTGAAAGAATTTCGGGTTCCTTAATTTAGAATTTCTTCTTTTTTTTCTTCATGTGGACCATTGTGCCGATAAACCAGGATTTCATCATTCGATCTTAGATTTCAATGAATTCCCGGTTCCCTTTGAAAAAAAAAAATCATGTTGAATCCCAGTGGACCGTTGTGGCAAGAAACCATAATCACATCGTTCAACCTTTGCAAATATGAAGGCCCGGCGGCCTAGTTTATAATTATTTTTATTTTCATGTTGAATTTTGTGCCAAGAAATCAGAGCTTCATTTTTTTCCCCTTATTTTGAATAATTCTTTGTTCATGTGAAGCGTTGTGCCAGGAAATCAGAGCTCCATCCTTAAACTAGAATAAAATATTTCACCCCTGGATCATTAATTTTGCCAACAAATCAGAATTTCGTGATTCTTCTTATGGACTTATGCATGTCAGGTTCCTTAATTTAGAATAATTGTCTGTCCTCTGAACAATTGCGCCAAGAATCAGAATTTCATTTTTCTTTCAATGGAATCATGAAAGCCTGCTTTCCTTCATTGAGAATCATCAGAGTAGTCGTTTCCTCTGGACCAGTGCGCCAAGAAATCACACTTCCATTCCATTTTTAGAATGCCGATATTTCAGGCGATCAATATCTGAAGCTTGAGTTTTTCATTAAATATTATTACCTGTTTTTTAGGACTGTTTTAATTAGCTTGGATCTAATGATCATCCGCATTGAAGAATAGGATCCCCACACTCCAAGGCTCCGATGAACTGTAGCAATGAAGTGTGGATGCACCCACAAAAGCTGAGCACCTCCCTCCCTTCTCATCATAAAAAATGGAAAAGAATCTGTTAATTTTTTCTTCTTTTTTTTTCATCTTTTTCCCTTTGAAACTTGCCATGTTGTGTAGGATTTGATGGTGAAACTCCTACAGAATCACCCTCGCCCTCACCCTCGGATGGTAATGAAGAGTGGGTTGATCTTCCGCTACCTTGTGTGCCTACGCAAGGTAGCTGAGCCTCCATCTTACCAAAAAAGGACCATAAAAGGAAAAGAGAGTCTATCAGATTCATCCTTATTTTACTTTTTTAATTGCCGCAAGAGACTATCATTTTGGTAAGGATTTGATGATCACTGACCGACATCCTCTGGCACCATGGAAATTCTCAGATAGAGAGCCAAGGGTAGTGAGTCGTGAGTTTGGCTCCATCCATCATCACCGTGTACCCACAAAAGCTGCGGCCCCTCATCATCCACAATAGAATAAAAGGGACTATTGGATTCTTCTTTTGATGCCTTTTGTCCTGCCGTTCTTTCTTCGATGATCCCAATTACTATTTTTAGTCGTTCTCTGATATTTCTAAAATAACAGATTAAACATGACTAGGTTTTTTTTTTTTGAATTCTGACTGGGCGATGCTTTGCCACTTATATGCTTATTTATTTATTTCTTTGAGTTATATTATTATTTATTTATTTCTTAACTTACTTAACCATAGGGAAGAGCTGCCTTGCCATTTTTGGGACTCTCTGATGAGCGGATGTCCTTATTCACCTCTATTTCCTGATAACACCATGCTCGTGCGGATGTCCACTTACCTTCTGTTCTCGTATAGATTTTACAAAACTCATCATGTGATTACTTCCCTTCTTCTGAATTCTTGCTGGGTATTCTGTCGGGTTGTTCTTCCATGTTTCATGTCTGAGTCCTCTTTAGTTAAATTTTCGCTCCAGAAATATTGGTCGATATCTTGTCCATTACCCCATATTCTAGGACCAGTTCAAGAAGACTCTCTGCTTCATGGCTCTACTATCTGCTTTGACACAGACAGATGTCGAATGCATCTGCTTGATTCATCAGTCCGATTCGATGTCTCTCCCAGGCAAGCTGACCCCGGCTGAGTTTGAGAAGCATTCTGGGCGTGAGACCCCCAGGAGGTGGAAGAGCAGCGTCTGGATCATTGCCAAAGGGGTGAAGGTCTCTCTTTTGAAGACGCCCCTCCTCAGGTACCACAACCAGGCTTTCGGATCTGGAAATGGGCCCCACAAGGGCCACAAAAGTCGTCTGGCCCACCGGGATGAGTTCATCCGCTGCACGAGGTGCAGCAAGGAGCGGAGATTCCGGCTCAGGACCAAAGAGGAGTGCCGGGCCCACCATGATGCTCTGGCTAACCGGCATTGGGAGTGCTCCGACATGCCCTTTGAGAGGTAAAAATTTGTAATTTTCGTGTTAAAATTAGACCTGAGATTAATATTTAAGAATTGCACTACGTCAGTTTTATTTTTCAAGAGAAATTTTTTATTAAAAAATTATGAATTTCATTGATGTGCTGATTTTTTTTCCCTTCAAGATGAAAAAAGTTTAATATCCATGGGCTAGGAGTAGTAGAATTCTTGCTCTCCAGCTGTAAGTTATGCATGTTGGAGTAAAGTTGATTCATCAGTTCTAAGCAATAATGCGTTTAAATGAACATAAATCTTTATTTTTCATGCGCAAATTCTTGAAAAAACAACTCTGATTCTTGATATGGCCAGCGGATATGTTCCCTGCAAGGGAGATCCCAAGAACTGTGCCCGTTTAGTCAAAACCCCGATTTAACTTCTACTCCTTCGTCCATATTTCTTTCAATTGAAAGTCAACCATGCCTTCTTCTTCTTCTTCTTCTTCCTCATTCCAAGCATTGAGACGACAGCGGTGGGGGGAGCATACACATGGTATCCGGAATGAAAGCATTGTGATCTCCGTTGACCTTCATAGATAGAATTCTCTGTGCCTAAATTCGGTCGGAATCCAAGATTCAGATCTTTTAATTTTCTTTCAGTCTGTTCAGAACAGGAAAGTGGTGTAACCACCGTGTCCCCAAGTAAACACCTCTCTCTCTCTCTCTCTCTCTCTCTCTCTCTCTCTCTCTCTCTCTCTCTCTCTCTCTCTCTCTCTCTCTCTCTCTCTCACCCCTCCCTTCTAATAGGGTAATGGGCGCTGAATTCCCTAGTAGATTACTAAATTCCATCTCTTTCTTTGCTTTTCTGGGGCCAAAAAAATTAGTAGGAAATGGGTTTGTCTCATATATGATGGCAAAAGTACGGGAGTAATTTATTTTGCCTGTTCTTCCTTTTCTCACCTTCCTCATTGGTAAATTGGGTAAAGAAAATCATACTGATCTCGTTGAAAAGGTCAGAGATGGAACTTAGTGGCCATGAATTGGTTTTGAACAGAGAAGGATGGTATTTTTTATAAAAAAATTGAAGGCCGACGAACTCGTCTGCTGTGCATGGTTTTTATGAGTTTTTATTGAAAAATAAAACAGTCTCAACTCTGGAAAGATGGAAATTCTCGGTGTGATACAGGGAGAGCGAGTTGACTTGTTCCCCTCTGCTATGAAATCAGGGCAAAGTCAAACACATGGTTGAAAATCTAAGAGCCAATAGGTACCAAACTAGGAAACCCGGTGCTTCCATGAGAGGCAAATTATGCGTCGGATTTTCATTAAAACCTCCTCCAACCGGCCGGAATCTGGCTGCTCCTCTTTCAGAGCTGGATGATCTTGGTCGGTGGAAAGCTGGCCGCCGCTAATGGCTTCTCTCTCTCTCTCTCTCTAACTGCTGGGGTGTTCGACTTTGGCAGGGTCAGCTGCGAGGACGACGAGGAGCGAGCCAGCCGGAAGAACTACCGGGGCTGCGGGAGGTCGCCGCTCTGCGGTGGGTGCACGGCGTGCGTCTGCTTCGGCTGCGAGCTCTGCAGGTTCGCCGACTGCCCCTGCCGGGTCTGCGTTGACTTCATGCTCAACGCCTAGGCGTAGGTGGGCACAGCTACGAGAAAAACCCCATCTTTGGTGCTTATTCTTTGTGGCAGCTGGAGAATATTCTTTCCTCGAGGCAGAGGAAGGCCCTTCATCTGATGGTTTGTTCTTCTTCCTCGTTGATGGGCACCCATTCATAAATAACCTATTTTGGGGGGGGGCTATTTCCGGACACAGCTCTCTCTCTCTCTCTCGCTGAAGAATGTCTTTGCAGGGAATCAGCCTCCTCCACTAGGCCATGTTTCTCTCTCATTCATTGCCTTTTCCAATAAGTAAACTTTCCTTCGTCGCAGATTCCCAAAGTGAAACCCTTTTTTAGCGATCCGACAGCTCAATGCTCCCAAATCCTGGGAATCTTGTCCAAAATTGGGAATCTAGCAGCCTGTCAGAAGATCATGAGACGGTGCGCCGTCTTCGTTTGCGCTGCTCTGATTGTCTATATCCTCCCTCCAGAGGGGAGTTGACTTTTTCTTGGGCTTGGGCTTGGGCCCGGCCCGTTCACGCCCCCTTAGTTTAGAGAGAGAGAGAGAGAGAGAGAGAGAGAGAGAGAGGGACTTTATTGAATGAGCCCCGATATGGACAAGTATAATAATAACACCCCTGCGAGTTCAGTTTATTGAGGAAAGATACCAACCCCTGAGAGGCGTAGTTGTTGGTGCAGGAGGCGCACCAAAAAAACGGGGTCGTAATTACAGCGAGCTCTTCTTCTTCTGCTTCTTCTTCCTTTCCGGGAATGGAAAGGATCGGGGGAGAGAGGGAGGGAGGGAGAGCGTGTCGGAATCCGACAGTCACAGATCCCCCAGTCGGCGCAGTCGAACGGTCACCTGCCGCGGGGGTTGACCAGCTGGGAGAAGACGGCGCTGGTGGCGGCATCGGGGTCGTCCTCGCCGGTGGCGGCGCCGGTGACAACGCCGGCAGGCGGCGCCGGCGGGTCATCGAGGAGGTGGGGGAGGGCGGCGATGTGGTTGGTGCTGTCGCCGCCGGGGTCGTCGGCGGCGGCGGCGGCGGAGGTCTCCTCGAGCTGGAGCGCGTACTCGAGGTTCCAGAGGACGTCCCCCATGGAGGGCCGGTCAACGCCGTGCTCCGCCAGGCACTTCTCCGCCGTCTCCCCGTACTTGCGGAGCGACGCCGGGTTGACCTTCCCCGCCAGCGCCTGGTCCATGATCTGCACCAGCTGGCCCCGCTTCTGCCACGTCATCGCCCACTCGGCGATGTTGGCCTGCTCGCGTGGCAGGCCCGGGTTCAGCGCGGGGCGCGTGCAGAGCACCTCCATCAGCACCACCCCGAACGAGTAAACGTCGGACTTCTCGGTCAACTGCTGGCGCCGGAAGTACTCCGGGTCCAGGTACCCGAAGCTGCCCTTGACCGCGGTGCTGACGTGGGTCTGGTCAATGGCGGGGCCCGCCTTGGAGAGCCCAAAGTCCGCCACCTTGGCCACTAGGTCCTCGTCCAGCAGGATGTTGGTAGTCTTCACGTCCCGGTGGATGATGCTCTGCGCCGCCCCCGTGTGCAGGTAGTGCAGCCCCCTGGCGGCGCCGATGCAGATCTCCAGGCGACGCCGCCAGGGCAGCGGCGGCAGCCCCGCCCCGTACAGGTGGCTCCGCAGCGGCCCGTTGGCCATGTACTCGTACACGAGGATCATCTCCCGGTTCTCGTCGCAGTAGCCAATGAGGGAGACCAGGTGCCGGTGCCGGAGCTTGGAGAGCATCTGGATCTCCGTGTGGAACTCTGCCAAGCCCTGCTCCGACCGGGGGTTCCCTCGCTTCACCGCCACCTTGGTTCCGTCCTCCAGGGCTCCCCTGTACACCTTGCCGAAGCCGCCCACCCCGAGCAGCAACGCCTCGTCGAACCGCGAGGTGGCGTCGCAGATCTCCTGGAAGGAGAAGACGCGGCCGCGCGCGGCGGCGGAGGCCAGCGACGCGCCGCTCGCCGCGGTGGCGCCGCCCCCGCTCTTCCCCGACGCCGCCGCGGTGGAGGCCTTGCTCGCGCTGTAGGAGTGCAGCCCGCCGCCGCCGTAGAGCGGGAGAGGCAGCCAGGGGTGGGGCGCCCCCCCGGCGCGGCGGGAGCGGCGGCGGAGGAGGACGCAGCATCCGCCGCACAGGGCGGCGAGCGCCAGCGCGGCGGAGCAGCCCGCGGCGGCGGCGACGATGAGCGCTCGCCGCCGTCGCTGCGGCGCCTCCTCCGGGAGGAGCTCCCGCGCGGAGGCGGCACCGCCGAGGCTGCCGGCGCCGTTGCTGATCTTCATCACCTCCAGCCCGTTCAGGATGGCGTTACTCAGGTCCGCCATTGGGTCCGGACCCACGCTCACCGTCAGCTCGCCGCCGCCCCTGCCATTGGAGGAGGAAGAGGAGGCGTTGCAGACAAAGTCCCTGTAGTAGGGGACGGCGAGGGCGCCCTTGAGAGCTGAGAGGTCGAGGCTGGGGATGGCGAGGTCGGCGTTGACGTAGACGTTGAAGACGAGGTTGTTCATGGACTTGCTGACGATGTCGCAGAAGTGGAGGCGGGCAACGTAGCGGAACCCCGGGTCAACGGCGAAGACCCAGGTGATGTTGAAGTTGGACCCGGTGACGTTAGCGTCGCTCATGGCATCGGCGGTGGCGTATACCCACCGCGGCGCCGTCTCCGTCGTAAGCCCGCCGCCCTCCGGGTACCTGATCGCCGCCGGGTCAACGGCCACCCGCGCCGCCGAGCTGTTCACGTGCAGGTACCCCTCGTCGGACTCCCAGGTCCTCCCCAGCGTGTCGTTCTCCGGGGTCACCGGAGGGCCGCCTACGTTCAACCGGAACACCGTTTCCAGCGAGAGCTCAGATAGACCGGCGACGGCGGCGGCAGCGGGGAGCGCCGCCGCCTCGTCGGCGATGAGCTCGTCGGGGGCGGAGACAACCTCGATCCCGTTGACGAAGGAGACGGAACCGTTGGAGGGCAGGAATGTGAGCACCAGCTCGCCGGCGGTGAGGTTCAGGCTGTACTCCTTGGCAACGAAGGAGGCACCGGAACCCCGGAAGACGAAGCCCTGCAGCAGGACGAAGTCGCCGGCGACGACGGTGATGGAGGCGGCGGTGAGGTCGTGGCCGGAGCCGGCGCCGGCGATGGGGGAGAAGTAGAGCCGGACCCAGTGGCGCCCCTGTCGCCGGATCTCGAACCGGTACGAGGCGGGCTCCGGGAAGAATCGGAGGGACTGGTAGATCGGGGACGGGAGGGACGCGGCGGCGGCGGCGGCGGCGGAGAGGGCGCCGTCGCCGGAGGACTTGAGGGAGAAGGAGGACCGCTCTGTGTCAGGGAGGAACTCCTGGCCGTGGACGGTGAGCTTCTGTGGGGACCCGCAGGCAATGCGGTAGCTGTCCACTGGAGAGAAGGCCTCTCCGCCGGCGGAGGAACCCACCAGAAAACCGGCGGCGAAGAAGAAGAAGGAGAAGAAGAAGGGGGAGAAGATCACGGGTGCCCACGGTGGAGTCCCCATGGCCGTCTTCCCCTGACGGCCGCGAAGAAACCCTAATTCCGCTCGCGCCTCAGATCAGCGCGCACCCAGATCGATCATCCGATTCCTCCCTCACCAGGAGCTCGGATCAAGAGCTCCTCTTTGAAAGATAGAGACAGAGACAGATAGAGAGAGAAGCTAGAGAGAGAGAGGTCTGAAACCGGGGAAAGAGGAATCGATCTAGAGGAGTAGAAAGAAGAAGAGAGAGAAATGACAGATCGGAAGGGAGATCCGAGGAAGATGGGGGTCGGATCTCCTCTTCCGGAAAGAGGACGGCGGCGGCGAGGTTCACCGACTGGAACTAGCCGTTGCGGCGAGGAGAGGGGAAGAGACTTGCCCTCTGCTGCGGCCGTCTTTTTATGATGAGAGAGAAAGATAGACGCTCCCCTCTCACAACCCAGCTCACAGCTCACAGCTCACAGCTCTTTCCAGCCTGGTTGAGGTTAGCCTGTCCTCTACGCAGCCTAGCGCTCAGAGGACCCCACGGCTCCAACACGCTGCTGGGGAGATACGGAAGGAAAGGTAGAGCTAGAGAGAGAGAGAGGGGGGACCCTTCTTTATTCTCCACTCTCTCTCTCTCTACTGTTTCAGGGGGATGAGAGGGGAGTTTCTCTACGTTTTGCAATGGCCGTAACCCTCTGTTCTTCTTCCTCAACGAAAGAGAGAGAGAGAGGGTGATGTGAAAAGAGAGGGGCTAGGGAGGGGCATGGGCATTGTTGCCAGGTATGCTCGGCGACGTCTTCCGAGCTGGGGACTGGCACTGAATTTAATAATTTACGATCCTCTAAATAAATAAATACAAAATATATGGGGTCTCATCAGGCCGGGCCCACATTGCGCTTCGATGTGATAGAGAGAGAGAGAGAGGGGGGGAGGGATAACCGACTTAGAAATTAAGAAATATATTATTTCATTGATTTAGGCGAGCAAGGGTGTTTATATAATATATTAAAATGCGAGGTCTCACCGTTGTCTTCCACCGCCCGCCGTACCCTCACGAGTCAAGTAGTAACGCCTCGCCGCCTCGCAAGCAGCCGGACCTCCTCACTGCCGATTGACCGCCGCCCCCACACCTCACGAGGCCTGTCTTCTATCTCTCTGTCTCTACTCTCTCTCTCTCTCTCTCTCTCTCTCTCTTATTCTACACGATCCTTATGAAAGGGAGTGTCTTCCCACCCAAGACACGTTGTGAGGCCCCTTGCACGCCACCGCGTGACACACGGCCTCGGCAAGGGCCACACAGTAGAGAGAGAGAGAGAGAGAGAGCGCACGTTACGCATGAGAAGTTGGATGCCAGCTTCGGACTGTCTGGGGCCCGACCGGCCTCCCACTCCGCTGTCTCGGCGGCGACCGAAGAGGCAGTTAGTGCCCCCCGGCGACCGCGGCGGAGATTAGGTTGGGATTTAATAGCCATCTCCCCGGGGACGGGGTAATTTATCTCTCTTCCCTTCCTCTCTCTCTCTCTCTCTCTCAAGCTCCATTATAGAGATAGAGAGAGAGAGAGAAGACTTCGGGTGTGGGTTTCAGCTCGTTCTTAAGCTCCACATGCCAGTCGGCCATGACGGGTCCTCCTCCCCAAACTGGACGGCCGCCGTCCTCCCTAGAGAGAGAAAGAATCGATTAATGGATAGTGAGAGAGAGAAGTTCTCCAGCAGAATCAGAAATCAGGGGTCGTCAGTCGTCGGTGGAAGGATCCTGACAGGCTGTGTTGCATAGGACACGGAAGTCGCGTATCTCCGCGGAGTCAACGTAGATGCTCGAGGGAAGTTCGGTGAAATTACAGAGAATACTATAAGATGTTGAAGGAAGCCGTTGGGAGGGTACAGTGGGGAGCAGGGTTTTGACTTTTGAGGAGTAGAAGGGAGTCGGCCAGAATGGATTGGAAGAGGATGCCGGACAAGGACGAAACAAGTCAAGGTTTTCCCCCCCAACCGCTCGAGGAAGGGTTCTTAAGCGTACAGCCAGCTTCCTCTCTCTCTCTCTCTCTCTCTCTCTCTCTCTCCCTCTCTCGCTCTCTCTCTCCCTCCCCCTCTTCTCCTCCTACATTTTGCTGGTCTCCTCCTTCCTACATCTTCCTGTTCTCTCTCTCTTTCTCTACACTCCTTCCCTCTCTCCTACAGCTCCCTCCTCTAGCTCCCTCCTCTCTCTGTCTCTCTCTCTCTATTCTTCCCTCTCCCACAGCGTACTCTCTCTCTATCTCCTATATATTCCTGGCCTCCCTTTCTTTCCCCCCATCTCTCCTCCACCTGCTCTCTCTCTATCCTTCCCTCTCCTACAGCTCTCTAGTCTCTCTCTCTCTATCCTTCCCTCTCCTACAGCTCTCTAGTCTCTCTCTCTCTATCCTTCCCTCTCCTACAGCTCTCTAGTCTCTCTCTCTCTATCCTTCCCTCTCCTACAGCTCTCTAGTCTCTCCTCTATCCTCCCCTCTTATAGCTATCTACTCTCTCTCTCTCTCTATCCTCCCCTCTCTTATAGCTATCTACTCTCTCTCTCTCTATCCTCCCCTCTCCTACAGCTCTCTACTCTCTCTCTCTCTCTCTCTCTATCCTCCCCTCTCCTACAGCTCTCTACTCTCTCTCTCCTCTCTCTCTCTCTATCCTCCCCTCTCCTACAGCTCTCTAGTCTCTCTCTCTATATCTCTCTCCTCTCTTCCTCGCTGCTACAGCTTCCTGGTCTCCCTCTCTCTCGTACGGCTGCTCTCTCTCTCTCTCTCTTTCTCTCAGCTGTCCGATGGGGTAGTCCGGCAGAAACATGTTCGTCCCTCGTCGCATTCGCCCCCGACTGGAATCTCCAGGCGCGCGTGAAAAACCACATGGATGACGCCATCACGACGTGTTCCCCTGTCAGCCCTCTCCGCCAACTAGGAACCCAAATCCTGCAGGGCGGCCCGATAGATGACCCGATAAGAATGGCCCGGGTTTGAGGCTCGCATACTCTGACCGACTGGGACCACGTATGCTGATCTGGCTGCTGACTAGGGCACACCGACGTGGCAAAAAAGGCGACGATTGTTAGGAAAAGAATCAATGGGCCTAACTGGTCCGCTTTGGGCCTTCTGAAGCCCTTTTCTAAACCTTATTTCCTGCCTTAGACCCGACTCAAACCCGCCCTTCTCTCTCTTCGAATCCCATCAGCCAGAGAGAGAAAGAGAGATGGGCCGAATGGGCCGTCTTTTCGGCCATGCTGGGCCGGCCCGCTCTCCGTCTCCACGGTAGTGTTAACGGGCCAGGCCGCTCATTATAGAGAGAGAGAGAGAATTTCTCTTCCTGCGTTTATAAATATGGTCATTAAACCCGAGTTCTCTTACTTCCACTCATTTATTTATTTATTTCATCGCGCCACATTTTTTTATTTGTATTTGATGCGGATAAAAAACAAAAGTGGTAATAAATAATTCCTGGTCCACGTGGCAGTCCCTCTCAGCCTGGTTGGACTGGTCGGAGCCCAGCTCTCCACGCGAGCCACTCTGATCTCGGTGTTCCCAAGTTTTTTGACCGTTGACATTCTCGATACATCAGGAATTTGAAACGGGCAAAAAATTGTTTTATCCTCGTATTATATTTTCATGTAACATAATAAAAATAAATGACTTATCCACGAGTTTCTCCAGCTGCCAAATGGCCCGGCGTGGCCCGGCTGAAGTTGGCTCAAGGCCGGCGTCCAGCCCTCCTCCACAATGAGATATAGATAGATAGATGAGAGAGAGAGAGAGAGAGAGAGTAGATAGATGACAGAGACAGAGAGAACCGCTCAATACCTCGCCAGCACCAGTCACATGCCCATCAAGAAGCTAAGCTACCGGCCGGGGACAAGGGCATTTAATGGTGGCGGGCACCGACGTTCCGTGCTTAACGAAGAAACAGGATTGTAGGCCACCATGTGGCCCTTGCGAGAGAGAGAGAGAGAGAGATTCAAGCGCCGGGCCTCCCGAGCTGTCGATTCTCAGCCACTCGTCTTATTATCCGGAAAGGGAGAGAGAGGGAGAGAGAAGAGAGGGGGGGGGTAGGAGGATGAGTAGTAATGATTTTAAAAAGCGAACAAATCGGTTATTGAAATCAGAATATTCTTGTTTCGACGTAGATTATGAGTATATGCCATGCATGCATGCCTTCATTAGCTCTTTCATCGATGGCCCAAGCAACTTCGGATCCTTGCCGTACGGCTCCTTCGCCACGCAGTGGGACAGAGAAGAGAGAGAGAGAGAGAGAGAGAGAGAGAGATTGGGGGGGGGGGGGAGGCGCTGCGCTGCGTCGGGCTTGAGAGGGCGGTGCGCCAGAGCCCGCTTGTCGGGGTCCCCGCTGAAATCTCCGGCATTGAATGCGGGAAGCAGGAGAACATCGCCATTGAAGGCTCTGCCAACGATCTCTCTCTCTCTTCTCCCTTTCATTAAATACAAGTGCCAAGAACAGCACATTCATTGGCGCCGTTCGGGTCTCAAATAGTCCGCCACAGAGCCGCTCTCCATGGAGGGGAGAAGGCACACGGGGGGACGCTGGCGGCGCTTTGCTGCCGGAGGCCGGTCGTCCACGGCGGTGCTTTGCTGCCGGAGAACGCCGCCGCCTGCTGCCTCGCCCGCCGCCGGCTGTCTTTACTTCTCTGCCCTGCTGGATGTTGCCCACGCGTGGACAGTGACCGTCCCAAACCCTCTCTCTCTCTTTCTCTCACAATCTATCTCTCTCTTTCTCTCACTATCTCTCTCTCTCTTTCTCTCACTATCTCTCTCTCTCTTTCTCTCACTATCTCTCTCTCTCTTTCTCTCACTATCTCTCTCTCTCTTTCTCTCACTATCTCTCTCTCTCTCTCTATCTCCGCCTGTTGACCGAGCCTCGGATGGCCGTTATAGTCAACGGTGTGCTCGGCCATCGCCGATATTTGCTCCAATGATCAAATGAGATCATTGAATGAGGCTCGTGGGAGCCTCCGCGCCTTGGAGACTTCCCCGCGAAAAGCTTTTACGAAAGAACCCGCCCTCGTCCCCGCCCCAGAAAGTCGTCGATCGGTTAAAAAAATCAACCGGTGGACAGTAACGGCTAACGGCACCGATCTAATGCAAGCCCGGAGGAGGTGCAATGAATGGGTCTTCACGGGATAGATCAGTCCCTTATTACCTGTAAAATCTCTCTTTCACCTCTCTCTCTTTCTCTCTCCTCTTCAAGTCCTCAGCTCGTTCTTCAAGTCCCGCATCAACCTCTCTCTCCGTCTGTCTCCCTCTCTCTCTCTCTTTCTCTCTCCTCTTCAAGTCCTCAGCTCGTTCTTCAAGTCCCGCATCAACCTCTCTCTCCGTCTGTCTCCCTCTCTCTCTCTCTCTCTCTTTCTCTCTCCTCTTCAAGTCCTCAGCTCGTTCTTCAAGTCCCGCATCAACCTCTCTCTCCGTCTGTCTCCCTCTTTCTCTCTCTCTCTCTCTCTCACTCTCACTTTCTCTATCTCTCTAGAATTGGCGAATTTTTAGGGGGGATCTCCGGCATTGTGAAATATATATGCGTTAACATTAAATGTGGACTGGATCGGAGCGAAGTGATGAATCTGGGAGCTTGAATGAATTTACTGCGATTCGAAGGAATTGATGGGGAGGAGTAAATGGCGGCGTGGGGGCGGTCCCCACCTGCTCCCCCCCCTCACGAACCCCCCCGGGGAGATCACACGGAGTTGGAATCTCATGGTCTCATGGTATCATCCATCCCTCCACATTCAAGAACCCCCCGCTCTCTCTCTCTCTATCTATCTATCTATCTATCTATCTATCTTCTATCTATCGATCTATCTCTCTCTCTCTCTCTCTCTCTCGCATGGAGGTACCGCCGTCTACGAGTGTTTCATGGGGTTTCAACCAGACCACAGGTCCTCTCTTTCTCTCTCTCTAAGGAGGCGCATGCAGGATAATACGAGTCATGAATACGAGGTACCGCCGTCTACGAGTGTTTCATGGGGTGTCAACCAGACCACAGATCCTCTCTTTCTGTCGGCTACGCACACTTGCCATCCTGCACTGTCCACGAAAGCGAAGCCCTTGCGCCGGCCCATCTCTCTCTCTACCTCTATCTCTCACACTCTACAAGGACCCATGCGAAAGAAGAGGGGAGAGGCCGGTCATCAATCGAGGAACTCGTCTCCGGAGGATTAATGCGTGAAGAGAATCCCCCGGGTGAGCTGTTATTGCGTGAAGCTCCCCATCAACCGCGTATTCTCTCTCTTCATCTCTCACTTTCTCTCTCTACTGGTTCGGCCCCCACCCAAGACTGGCGCCGTCTCCGGCGATCTCGGGGGAAGTAAGTAGGCGTGGAGCAAGACGCAGTAAGTATATCTGTCATATTTACTGGGAAAAGAATATATGAGGGGAGGGGAGGGAGGCCCAACAGGGATATCGCCGACGGCGAGGATGACTCTCCGGCGAGGAGAGGCAGGGTGAGGTCACCCGGGGCGGCGGCGGCGGCGGGCGGCGAGGCCGGAGCAGTGGGGGTAGGATTTGAGGACAGCGCCGCAGGGAGTGCAGATGATGGCCCGCCACGCACGGCGGTGGACGGGGACGTAGCAGAAGCGGGTGGCCGTTTCCATGTCCGCCACGCGGGCGCCGCCGCCGCACCGCGAACAGATCCCCGCCGCCGGCTTCGTGCTCCTCACCGTCCTCCTCTGGTCTACCAGGAAGCAGAAGAACACCATTCTCTCTCTCTCCCTTTCACCTTCTCTTTCTCTCTCTCTTTTCTCCGGTAGACAGCAGCGAGCGAGAGAGCACAACGAGAGACCGAGAGAGAGAGAGTAAGCGTTCGAGAGGGAGAGCCCCGAAGCGGGTTCTCAGTGTCACCGGTATTCTTATGAAGCACGAGTAAAAAGGAGAGGAAGCCCGTCTAGATGGAGACAGATAAACAGAGCCCTAGAGAGAGAGAGAGCTTTAGTGTGCCGCCGGAGAACGCGCAAGGACCCCAGGGACAGAGTCAGAGAGGGGGAGAAAGGGACAGAGAGAGAGATATGGGGGAGGGGCTCCACAGGCGTCCATTGTAACCCATCTCCGGTTTCCGTCTTTTTTTTTTCCATTTTATTAAAAATTAAAACTCATTCAATGAAGCAGCCTGTCCTTGGAGCGGCGCCGCGCTAGTCAAACCTACGCCGATTGAACACCTGCCATCTCCAATATTATATTTTATATTTATTAATTCCCGAATTCCTACCATGACGTCATCACTACGTACCGTTTTAAGCCGGCATTTGGCTGATCAGTGACGCTAGGCCCATTTTATACCCTTTTGGGCCTATTAATGGGCCCTTATTAGTACACCGGTTTGGGCCGGTATACTGTCGCAACTCGAGTCTGGCCTATGTGGGCCTGAAATCATTTTTGGGCTGGGCCCATTTTATTACATTTTTTCGAAATTTCGCGATGCTTTTAATTTTTTAAAAGAGTTTGGAATTGATCCTCTACTTTTTCAGTACCTGTTAAAAGCCCTCGTTTGAAGATTTATGCCAGTTGTACTCTAATAAAGTATGAAGTTCAATGGTAGATGTACCCTTTATTGTTGTATTTACCTTTTTTATTTTGCATTGTACGCTGAGACGACCCGTGGATCGGGCGATCCGGAACATGACCCTGAGTTCGCCGCGTTGGCAACCGTTCCTCCTCGTCGTCTTCATCCTCCCCCTCCGCTCTCTCTCTCTCATCCATCCGTGGCAGAGCGATCGGATCGTCGGGGCGCCGGGAGAATTCGCTTGGTCTGGTGAGTTCAGTGGGGGCCTCCAGCATCTGAATTTCATGCGCACTGGTTCCGGTTTCCTTCACCGAGGCCCGCCCGCTCAGCCTCTTTTCCGCCGATCTCTTCCTTCGGCGCCATCACCGTCATCTTTCCAGGCGGTCTTTACCCCTTTGGTCCTGTTTTTGTTGATGCCGTGGGCGTCCTCTGTTTGGTTCATCTGTTCTCCGATTTTATCACTCTTCCTTCCATTAAGTCGCCGCCCTAATCTCTTCTTTATTTCGAATGGGAGCCCTAACCCTAACCCGGAGTGGAGTGACCCGAATTGTCGATCGCCTTCGGAGCGGGTGTTGACCGTCGTCGCTGTTTTTGGGTGTTTTCCTCCCGTACCGCCGTACTTTTTGTTTTGGTGCGCTAGTCGTCCCCTGTGGCAATTTCAACCCAGTTCTGTCCTCCTCGCAATCAAGCCTTTGGCGCGTGCCCGACTCCCTCTCTAATGTGAAGGTTTCTTAATCAGGCTTTTCGATGACTGCTTGAAGAATTTCCATCATTTTAGTGGCATTGAATTGTTAGTATTTTGTGAAATCGTTTTTTTAATGTAGTTCCATTGGTGGGCTTTGGTATATCATTTCTTTTCGACTGGGCTTGTAGCTTCATATGATCCTTACTGTGCTCTGTCCTCTTTGTCATTAGTTAATTGTACACCATTTCGAAGCTACAAATTTACATCATGGTGGATGCATTCGTTCTGAAAATGTCTCCTTTCTTTTACTATATTCCTTTTTTTTCACGCGAAATGCGCTTGCTGTCGACCTTTTTACGTTTTTTCTGCTTATTTTCAACCAGATTCTTTTGGAATTTCATGATTCAATCAACACGTTATGTAGTTATCAGAACATTAGAATCATATTATTGCTAGTTGGACTGTGAACTAATTGTGTTTTATCATACACTTATGCCAGACATCAAGTAAACGATGGCATATTTCGAACGGAAATTTCGCAAAGAATCATTCAAAATTCTTCATAGATATTTTATTTTATAATATGAAAACATACGGGTAATAGAGAGCTAATTACTTGGTAAATGAGTACATATCCGACTCATGGTTCAGGGAAACCTTGTTGTGATTCTTTTTTTCTTCATCTTGCATCTTTTTGTGGTCCTTTTGTCTTCGTCTCTTTGTTAGATGTGATCTCTGTTTGCGAACTTAGTCATTATCTTGGGGTTTTTTTCAGTATTTCTGCTAAAAAGTTGCACAAGCAATGCTAGCTCGTGATAGAAACGTAAGGATCCTTCTCTTTTCCTTCTATTCGTTTCCTTAAAAGGTTATTTTTAAAAATCATGATGACAATGTGTACCTTCCTTTTTTGCTTTCAAAAATTTTTCAGGCACCATATGAAGCCTATGGCGACTATGATGATTATGAAGCAGAAGAGGATGATAAACAAGAAGAAGACCCCAAACCCACCAAGGAGGTCCTGGACTTTCTCAAATTGAGGGATCAGTTCAAGGAGAAAATCAGGCAGAAGTATAGGAAGGAAAATGCGACGGCTCTTGGTCCCAATCATTCTCGGGATGAAAATGGGAAAGCATCAAGCAATGAGTAAGTTTTTTCGCAGAAGAAGATTTTTTGCGACTGCTGTTTTCCATTGATCAAAGACGATCATTACCAAATTTAAATGTGGAAAATACCATAATACAACATGGGTATAGCAGCTTTAGGCAAAAACTAAATGACTTAATGCATGTAGTATTGTATGGTTCGTATGTAGTTTTCTTGGGTAGGCTTGAGGTATACTCGCTGGAGGGTTTGTCCAACTGAACTTCACCTTGCTGTGTATTGAGTAGCACTGGATGAGTTAACTCACAAACTTGTTCAGCAATGTTATGCTGTGTTTGCTGTGGAATATTTACCATAAATAACTGTATGGGTATACAGGGAACTTATGATGGCTCATGTGGTATCTGTACATAATGTATCATGTGCAGCTGGAGTAGTTTAAACTTCTCCCAAGCTATAAAAGATACAATTATGACGTTTATTTGAGTACTCTTCGAATAAAAATAGTGCTTGTAGTTGGAAAAATAGGTTTGAGGTCTATGTAAATCATAAATTTATTAATCTGTACAAGTAAACAAATTGTGTGTGCGTGATGGAGATTTAGTAGTGGAAATTTTTAGAAATACTGCTATTTAGGATTGAACACAAACTCAAATTCTGTATACTTTATGAAATTTGTGCCATTCACGTGGGATTGTGGACAACTGCATTTTTCTTCAGGATAATTTCGATATTTATCATTTTTTAATAGAATATGATGCTCTTTGTTTTTAAAATTAGGTATGATAATTCACATCTCAGAATCGTGAAATCCGCATAGGAATGAGGATATTGTTGCATTGTTGACTTGGATTGGTTATTAATACTAGTTCTCTTAGAGGTGGTCACAGGTTTTGATTCTGTCTTTCTATTAGGTTGAAAAACAGAAAGGGAGAAGAAAATACTCAATGAGCTCATCTGGCTTTGTTCGTCTGAAGATTTTTTTTTCAACATTTATTGAAATACCACTATTCTACAAGTTTTCTCCTTTGTCAGCATTCTATCAATGTATTGCTTAGAGTTCATGAAGGATAATAGTTCCCACCTGAAAGCTGTGAATAAAGATCTGTAGATAGCTCTGAAAGCTTCAGTCAAGGTTTCCATAAAATAAATAATTTCATTATTAAAATAAACTTAAAAATAATCCTCTGGTCATTGCATATAGCAAGTTGCATTTTGATGTCATATACAATTTAATAAGAATAAAATTCGTTGATCTAACATAATATGAATCTATTTTTCTTCATTTTATTTTTTCATAAATGTTTTTAAAATGATTCGATGTTGATTTTGAACCTTTGGTGTCACACTACCTTTGATGTTAGAAGAAGAATTTTATTTTGATGGAATTTTGTTAGATATGATTGAAGTAAAGAATGCTGGAATGTTGCATGAATGCTTAATCAAAAAGAGTAACGAGAACTATGACGATCTTGGTTTGGAAAAAAACTAGGCTCACCAGAACTTTTCAACGGTATTGTAAAATTTGGACGACCTAGGGAGGAAACTACCTAATGCTGCGTACAACATGGGGATATCACAGATGCGTCATCTTGGTAGTGGATTCTCAATGAAGGAATGTCTCGTGATGATGGTTATTGTAACTTTTTCTTGAGATTGATGGTGAATGAAACTGTTTAGGGATGTTTACTTTAGAATGAACATTACCAAAATCTATGATGGCATTATTTCGACAAATGACTATGCAAAAATTGCTTGTATTATCACTTGCATGGCTAGGTCAATACATACCCTCCATGTGAGGCTGTTGCTCATTCCTTACAACTTTTGGGTAGCAAAAACTTGGTTTCATTTTGGTGGGGTTTTGTTAATGCAGGTGGCTTGAGGCTAGTGGCTATAGGAATTTCCTCTGTTAGATCTTTGCGTTTGTTACGCATCAGAATCAGAATGAACAATATTTGTTAATCCAGTGCCCAAATCTCATGGTGTTGTGGCAGAAGTCTTGTCACATAGCAGCCCAAAAATCTCTTCCAACCTGAAGGTTGTTTTCTGAATCCAACCCGAGGCCTTTTCCCCAGCATACATGATGATTGAACGAAGTTCCAAAGTTCAATAAGCTTGGTATCCATTCCAAATAGTTGTGGAAGCCGTGGCCATGACTGACCTCTGACTGGCCAATCTCTGAGAGAGAAGGAGGTGAAAACACGAAGGATGCTGCCAAAGCCGGTGGGGATCCATGGCACAGATTTCCCCTGGTTAGTGATGATGATCGTCTGGACAATCATGGTTCCACTGCGAACCTATCTATCTACATGTGTTGGGCCAGGGTTTTCTTGTGTATAGGTCCCCCCAACCCTATCTCACAAAACTCAACATGTTCCTTTTTCCAGCCAGTTATATATCCTTTGGAGTAAGTCATACGATTACAGTACTATAATGAAGATCAAATTGGGCTATTTAAAGGTAGGAGGATGAGACTTATTATGATTTTCACTGGTCAGCATTGAGCCACGCATGCTTCAGTACCGGTGCAGAGTATCAACTTATTGCAATTGTAAGAGCATTATTTTGAAGCATTGACAAAAATGGAGCTTTGTTTGTTGCCTTAACAGGAAAAGTCAGCCATTCTCTTCCTTGGTAGACTATCAATACCTGTGTATGATCCTGTGGGGAGAGAAGCCCCCAACTATTCATAGGTACTAAAAAATAGTGCACTACAAAAGTTCTGTTATGACGGATGAATTCCCTCGAATTTCTCCAAATGGCTACAAGGTTGTTTGTTCTTGAGGTTCATCAGGAAAGATTGAGCTGATAACCTAAAAATAAAATACTACTTTCCTCATGTAGCAATGGTTGGCTCGCGTCTCTAATTCGATGGATAATCATATCATTTCTTCAAGTGGATATCTAAGTGCCCCCCTAATCATGGAGGGTTTGGCTTGGAAATAACCGCGCCCAGTTGCATCTCCCCGACTCCCCCTTGCATTGTCTTGCCGCTGCTTGATTTTGTTTTTGAATGTATGTGTATATTCATATATATCTATATATATATATATATATATATATGTATCTTGTATGATTACAAATTATGAGCAAAAACAGCTAAAAGCTGGTGATAATAGAGCGAGATTCCATTGTGACGAGGCATATGATGTGGATGGATGAAAGATGATTGGTTTTGCTCGCCGGCAGATTCGGCTCCTTCTTTGGACCCTCGCAGCGGGTGATTGCTCCCCGGGTGATTGAAGAGAGCAGGTCGATCCGGGAAACCGAGCACATCGTCTCGAGGGGTCCTCCCACCACCTCGGCTTCTGGAGTATATAGTCCTCTTCGTCTCGCAAATACCACACCTTCTTTGGATCGTTTTCTCTCTCTCTCTCTAAAACACACATTCTTTGTGGGGCCGCAGGTCAGGCGGCCGTCCTCAAATGCCGAGAGGGAGCCTCTTCCGAGGGGGAAGCCTTACCGGGTTATCAACGAGGTGGAGGAAAAACCCTACCCATAAGCCCCTCTCGTCAGTGGATTTCTATTCCTGTGGACCTTTGAATGGATCTAAGTTTTCACTTTGTTGCCGGTTGCCTTTTTTTTTGGTTGCAGACGCAGAGGAAAGTGCAGACGCTGAAGGAAACCCGGGACTACTCATTCCTCCTCTCGGACGACGCCGACCTCCCCTCTCAGGCCAGCGGCCCTCCTAAGGCCGCTACTGCTCCAGCTCCTTGTTCCTGTCAGTCAGGCACACTTTTTCTATTAACAAATAGAATCTCTATTATTATTATTATTATTATTATTATTATTATTATGACTAAAAACCTCCTCACTCTCTGTTTTTTCTTTTTTTTTCTTTTTTTTTTTGGTTTTTTGCCCACGATCTTGAAGCTGATCGATCGGGCCAGGGTCTACCGCCCCCCAAGACGCCGGTGATGAAGCCCCCCAGACAGGTTCCTGAGAGACAGCCCTCGAGAAATAGGGCGGAACCCGGACTGGGCCAGACCCGGCCCATGCCGAAGAAGGTGGAGCATCAGAGGCCCGCATTCCCGGCTCGGCCCAAGGTGGCCCCAAGTGAGCCCAGAAGTGCACCCAAGGGCGGCAGCGGGGGCGGGGGCGGTGGGTCCCACTCAGCCGCCCGACCTGCGACCGTTGTGAGGAAGCCCACCTCGTCATCCGCGGGGGAAATGAGGCCTTCGGCCATGGAGAGGGCGCCCTTGGCGAGGGCTCCTTCTACCTCAGCATCTGCCCAACAGAGAAGGGAGGCCCAGGATGGGCCCAGGCAGAGGGCATTGCCCCCGCCGGGTGCAGCAGCGTCTTCTTCAAAGCCTCAGGTTTTACTGTCTCCGGCTTTTCCTGTCAAGCGGCGGTCGTCTTCGAGGCCCTGGTTCGTAACTGGTTCCTCCTTTCTTTGGTCAATTTCAGGCGTTGAGGGCTCCGCCGAGGCCGATTCAGCGGCATGGGACGGAAGGAAACCGTCGGGGAGAGAGAGAGAAACCCTCCAAGGGTCACCTGAGGAACCCCTTCGACGACGACGACGACGATATCGACGACCCGATGAGCTTCTTGAGGAATACGTTGTTGTCTAGGTATGGTGCAGTTTCGATTGCCTCCTTACAACTGTTCGTAGTTTTTTCTTTTTAATCAAATTAATGCTTTTGCCCTTTCGTGTTGTGTGATGATGATTACTGCAATATTTCAACCACCAACTTCTCGTGCCAACGTATAGACGTCGCTCATTAGGGCAGAGAGAGAGAGAGAGAGAGAGAGAGAGAGAGAGAGACGCCGCTTTGACGCCAACAAAGTGGAGGTCAGCTAGTTTCTTATCCGATTGGGTGGCTTCTCATTCCTTCTCTCTCTCGCTTTCTGTGTTTGTGGCGGCAGGTTCCAGTCCAGCAAGTACCAGGACGAAGATGAGGATGATAGCGACATGGAGGCCAACTTCGAAGACATCATGAAGGAGGAGAAGAGGAGGTAATGTGTTGTGTGTGTGTGTGCGCGCGCGCGCGCGAGAGAGAGAGAGAGAGAGAGAGAGAGCGTTTCCCGATTGAGTATGTTTTTCTTACGGGTTAGGATCTTGCAGCTCGAAGATTGCAAAGCAGGAGGACGAGGAGCAGCTGCGGCTGATCGAGGAGGAGGAGGAGAGGGAGGCGAAGAGGCGGGAGGCGAAGAGGCGGAAGCTCATGCGGCGGTGAGCAGAGAGGGAGAGAGAGAGAGGAGGCCGCCTGCCTCTGATTTGGGTGGGGTTTCCATGGTCGACGCGGTCGGTGTAGGAGCCACTTGTGAACAGGGCTCCGACAAGGCCTGGCCTCTCCTTTCTTCTTCCTGTTGGTAATAATGATGATTAATAAAATGAATATTTGCAGCTATTGAGTGTGTGTGATGGAGAGAGAGAGAGAGAGAGAGAGAGAGAGAGAGAGGGGGGGTCCCGACTTTCGGGATGGAGTAGCAGTAGCAGGCGATTTATGAATGCTTGTCTCGATCTTGTTGACCGTTATTTCTTATCATCATGACTCCGCCCCACTCAGGAGTTGGGCAGCCGTGGAATTTTGTTTTAACCCACCGGTGAAACCTTGGATACTTTCTTCACCTCGCCTATCCTTCCCGCCTTTCTCTGAATCAATCTCTTCTGTCTTCTCTCTCTCTTGAAACCCGTTCGTATCTTCAGCAGGGTCTTCGACGAACACATCTCTCTCTCTCTCTCTCTCTCTCTATCTCTATCTCTCCTTCAGGATATCGGAGGAGCTACCATCTCTTCCCTCTCTCTCTTTCAGTGTCTTCAAAGGACTTCCACCCGGCGGGGAGTAGTTCGTTGCACGTCAGATTTGGAAAGCGATGACTGTCACAAAAGTCGGCAGGTACACCTGCAAATGACCGGAAATCTCTTAAATTCTCAATATTGCACGTACAGTGGATGCCTCGGGATCATTATCCCACTTCTTCTGACGTCACAATCAGTCAATCTCTCTCTCTCTCTCTCGCTCTTCCTGGGCCGCCGCATCTTCTTCTTCTTCTTCTAGTCGTGGTCGCTCTGGTTGAAGGCCCGACGAGACCCGGAGGATGGTGGAGGCCTTCGTCGCCGGGGCTCAGTCGGAAAAGGTGCGGCGACGGACGCAGGAGGAAGGGTTGGGAAGGCGAAGATCGGAGATGAAGGAGGCCAGTGCATGCGCCAGCCCCGCGATGATGCGGGACTTCACCTGCCCCCTCCTCGGGATCGCCCGCCGCCCAAGCTTGCTCGCCGGAAACCTCCCCGGACGAGTCCTTCCGGTCGTCACTCTCTTCTCCTCCGCCATCGCCTCCACAGCAACCAAGAAGAAGATAGCTAGAAGAAGACGACGGCTAGAACAAGAAGGAGAAGAAGAAGAAGAAGAAGAAGAAGAAGAAGGCTAGAATAAGAAGAAGACAGCTAGAATAATAAGAAGTACTCTCTTCCCACCTCGTTATCAGTCTCTCTCTCTGTCTCGCTAGTTGTTGTGAGTGGGTGGGTGACCAAGTGGAGAGGGAGGTCTCAAAGGAGTTACACTCCTTGGGAACGAAGCCTGATTTCCAGGCGATTGCATCCCGTGCCACATTGATGTACTGCCCCCTCCCCCCCGAGAGAGAGGGAGTTTTGAAGGGTGGCTTTCGGGAGGAGGGCGTGAGTCACGTGGGGTGGGGTGGGGGAGGAGATCTTGCAGCGGTTTGGATGTGCGGATAGACGCATTTATCTCATTAGAAGCACGTTGGGCTTTATCTCATTATTTCAATGGTGGCCATTATGCTCCTCGCCCCTTGTCTCGGACGTTGTAAAACTCTCCCTCCCTCTCTCTCTCTCTCTTTCTTTCTACCCTTGATTGGTGCAGACGTGACGATGATTATAAATAGGAGGTTACCATCGATTGTTGTTTTCATGACCCCGCAATCGGACTCCTCTTCTCCTCAAGAATAACTTGTCTGCAGTCATTCTCTCTCTCTCTCAGGAGCTGGTGCACATCTATCGGATGCCATAACTGAGCAGTGTGCGATCAAAGGCCATCCTTCCTCACTGTCTAATCCTTGCGGGTTCAGGGGTTTCGGAGCTCAAAACCTGCGGACTCGAGGCCCGATTTCTTTTGCAGCATCCGGCGCGCCGATTGTCTACAGAGCGTCGGCGTAAAAACAGGAGGTGGAGGCCATCGCCCACACCGCGGCAGAGAGATTTTCTCGGCCGTTGTCATTTGTCTATCTAGCTCTTTTGAAGATGCGACAGGTTTTCTCCACGTCACTTACGCCCCACTCTCTCTCTCTCTCTCTCTCTCTCGTAATCATCTCTAGAAAGCTCCGGGGAGGACTCCTTTCTTGTGCTCTCGCCCTCCGCTATTGTTGCATCGGGAGGAGAGGGAAGGAGAATGACGGGATGATGCTCTTCTCTTCTCCCTCTCTCTCACTCTCACTCTCTGGATCTTTCGGAAAGAGCTCAGAGGACTAGAAGACCTGAGAAAACGAAGACCGGTCTCTAGAAGATTACTCTTTCCTTCACTACATGGCTCTACCTTCGTGGGCTCTCTCTGTCCTGCCGCTGAGAGAGAGAGAGAGAGAGAGAGAAAGAGAGATAAAAAATTCTTGTGGAAGGCAGGAACAGATGATGTCCGTCGTGTTCGTGTCATTAATCCATTTGACAACTCTCTGAAGATGCACGGGGGCTCCTCTCTCTCTCTCTCATCCATTTATCGATCCATAGAGACATTCAAGTCCGATGGTTATTTTATGAGTTCCCTCTCTCTTCTTGTTCTCTCTACTTCTCTCTCTCTCTCTCTCTCTAAGCCACGTGAGGCTTCTCCTGGCCCCCCGATCGGAGTTGCCCGCTCTTGATCCTCAGCCGTGGTGACGGGCCGAGGAAGAAGGAGAGGGGAAGGGAGAAGAAGCCGGCATAGAGATAGAGATAGAGATAGAGAAGAGAGAGGGGCGCCATCATGGGCGGGGTACATTTACTATTTTTTAACTTATAAGCTTTGTGTAAACCCGCGTGCAAAACGTAACCCTACGGATTGATTTGGTCGGAAGATTATATCTCTCTTCTCCGACGCGCCGGCTCTCTCAGTCGGAAGTCGTTCCTCTCCTCTTCCTCCTCATCTCGTCTCGCCGCCGCCTCAACGGGCCAGGCCAAAGGGGGATCGGCCCCTACCTCCGGTAGCCTATGCCTCAGCTGCCCACTTTCCCTTCCTGCCGGCTCCGCTTTATGCTCCTCCCGAGCCCGTTGACTTTGATCCGGTGGCGTTCGAGCCCGTGCTTCTGTTTTCTTTGATCATCCGCGTCTGGTGCTGAGCTCCTCCTCCGCGGTCATTTTTTCCCGTCGCCGTTGCTTTAAGCGATTGTCCTGCGGAATCGTCATTGCAAGACCTGGTTTCCGGGCTGTAGCTCTCACGGGTGGGGATCTCTATCCTGTGCGGTCCTCCTCCAAGTCCGGCCGCTGCTGGTATGTGCCCGATGTCCCCTGTAATGTGACTGATTCCTTATATGCCGTGTCCTGCGACGGTAATTGCGATTTTCTTTGTTCTCCCGCGGTGGCTTCATGAATACCCGTCTCTTTTAGGCTCATGGCCGAATCATTTTCTTTGAACTGAATTTTTTGACAGTATTGCGTGAAAAATTTCCCTCCGGGTGATTCTGGTGGTGGGTGCCACATTTATGTTATATTCGCCATATACCTGGATATGATCCATGTTGTGCTCTATTCTCTTCAGGTAGATACTGTACATTTATCATCTTGAGAAATGATGCTGCTCAATGGTTCTTGCTGTTTGAAATATCCTCTGTATTTTAGGCATAAAATCTTGTCGTTGCTTGTACTTACTAGTTTGTTATTAAAATTGAAGAACTAATCAATATGTGCCACGTTTTCCAGAATGGGTGAATCATGGTGCAGCTAGTTGGATCTGTACATTTTGCGTTTTAATAAAGAAAATTTAAATGGAAAATTCACAAAACTTAATGGAATATTTATGTCAGAAATTTTATCATGTGACTAAATTAATCTATTCTCCTCAAGATCTGAAATACTTCATTTGGATGGTGTTAAATGTAGGAAATCGTGTTCCATTTTCAGGGATTCAACAGGGATGTGATAATATGTGGTATGTTTTCTTTAAGTAGCATCAAATGATTTTGGTAGTAAACTTCCTAAAGTGTGAAAAATTGCATATATTTGAAGATTTTAAGCATCCTGCTTAACGGAAAGGTCCTCTTATTTGGGTAGCAAATGAATTTGACTTATTCTAGTTCACATGTAGAGAGTTTGTTACATTAACTATTAGGTATGCTAAATCAGAGTCAGCTGTAGATCTCCATATGATTCTTTATTTATTCTTTTACTGCAAGGTGTCCAGTTGGAGAATGTTGGATTTGAAATTGATCCAATTTATTCAATTACCGCCACTGAAATTCGGTCCATAATTTTGACTTTTGTTTCTAAGTGCATAGTCTGTATTGCATGCAACATTATTGATGCATGTCATGGTCTACGAGAACATATAAATTTTATTATACTGTCATAATACTTCTTGCGGGGGTGGTAGTTCTCCATTTCATGTTATGTTTTCTTTCATCTTGCTTCAGGTTTGGTCTACATTGCTTGCAACACAACTGGTTGTTTCATCCACGCTATGTGGAGAGGTGCTACAGCAAGCATCTGCTCGAAGCTCCTATTGTCATCCCGTGCAGCATGCTGCAGACCCTCAGATACTGTATCTGGTTTTCATGTGCTCTCTTCCCCTGTTATCAATGATATACTTCCAAAGGGAGCTCTGTTCTCTGCACAATTCAATTCCAGCTCTGTAGCTGGCTCTTGGAAGCTAGGTCCCACACCCACCTCCCATGGACTTGATGTTGACTCTCCAGTGGAAGTGCCGTTCCTCAGAAGCCCAATTGCCACGTTTCTAGCATCCAAACAGCTGTTGAAGGCTAGTGATAGTGCTCTACATTATGGCCGTTGCTATTGGGAGCTTTCCAAGGCAAAGCTCAGGTGCTGCCGTGTATCCTACGATTGTGTTCTATTCTATGCATGACTGTGAGCATTGGAAATCATATGTTTCTTATCCTCTTCAGCATGCTTGTGGTGGCAACATCTGGAGCTGGTTTTGTCCTTGGAAGTGGAACTGTCATAGATTTAGTTGGGCTTTGTTGTACTTGTGTGGGAACCATGACGGTAGCAGCAGCGGCCAACTCCTTAAATCAGGTGCTATAATCCATGTAAACGATGTTATTTTACTCCTGTCTATTTTTATTAGCTCTTTAACTTGTATTTCTCAGCGGCAAAGACAATTTATTTATTTATTTATGGGTTCATGCTTAATATTGGTGCGCTACTTGCATGTTGGGAGTGCAGCCTGTTTGGCTGGATTAGATATATCTAAATGCAGATGTAGATGTAGATGTAGATGTGTTCTAGCTAATATGAGCCTCGATTGGGCCACTTTATATGTACATTTTCCCTTGAAAGTCTTTTGTGGACTCATCAATTGTTTATCAGAGGTCCGTGGGACATGGACTGGACTTTCTCTAGGCCATCTTTGTTCTTTGGTTCCTCTGATGCTTTTATTAAAAAGCTATATAGTAATATTTGATTGATATGATTGTGTTCTCAGACATGACATATTTACTGCTGACACAAACCAAAATTATCAAGCTACAGATGGCAAAGTTCTTTTGGAGAGTAAATCAGCTGATTACCATGTGCACTGTGTACCTGTCGTATTTAGTGCTTTCATATCTTTATAAATGCTATTATGTATTATTTCAGGTTTTTGAAGTACATAATGACGCTAAAATGAAGAGAACGAGGAACAGGCCTTTACCTTCAGGTCGTCTTTCTGTTCCTCATGCAGTTGCATGGGCATCAAGTGTTGGTGTTGGCGGGACTGTTTTGTTGGCATCAAAGGTGCTATAATTTTTCTACGCATTGATTTGTTGAGGTTTTATGTAAAATCTTTTTTCTTCGATGATGTCTTTGAAAATCTGTCTTCAATCTGAGGATTTATGAGCTGATGGTCACAAAACAATTGTTGCAAGGTTCTTGCAGACTAATCTCTTGGCGGCAGGGCTTGCAGCATCCAATTTGGCTCTTTATGCTTTTGTCTACACTCCCTTGAAACAAATACATCCAGTGAATACATGGGTCGGAGCTGTTGTCGGCGCAATTCCCCCGCTTCTTGGGTAGGCCTCCTTGGCTTTGAACATGATTTGTTCGTTTCTGCCATATTTCCCCTTGGCTTTGCAATGTGTTCTCATTCCTGTTTTATGTCATTAAACTCCGTATCTGTGTTTTCACATTTCCATCTCATTTTGTTTGAAAAATGCCGAGTAGTGTTTGAAAGCTTTCTTTTTATTGTGCTTTTATTTGTATACTCCGAGTAACATCAACTTGCTGAAAGCTATAGCTGACATTCTGCAGGCATCTTCTTCTACGAGCCTTTTTACTTTTTAGTTATTTCCCCCAACAATTTCAGCTTCTATATCCATGCTATTCACGCTTGCATATTCTCATGAGATCCCTACAAATCATCAATCACTCGGATTCATTATAATTAAGATGGGCTCTTTCTTTAATCTACCCCCTCGTTAATCTCCATTTGGAAAATCTGTCCTATCCAAATTCACCTCTTCGTCATATTTTCCATTAGCCATCTAGAGTTGCTGTCACTTATTAGAGACCTTCTGTCTATTCATAATCATCTGAGCGGTCAGAATTTTCAGAAGGTTCTCTGGCACTTAATTGAGCCACTTTAATCAGTTTTATGGGACTATCCCCACATTTTTCATCGAAACACATTGTCCCAAAGTGGATATTGATGTCCATTCTCCTTATACTTCACAAATAACAGAATATCAGTTCATGAATCAACGAGACAGCTTTTTCTTCTCTTATGCTAAACATATTTATTAAAATCTTTTATCTGAATAAAATAAAACAGACTCTCATATCCTTCTACCCTTGTATACGTTTTGGCTTAATCCTCATTTTCCCATTTTTTCCTCAGGTGGGCTGCCGCGACTGGTGAGATCTCGCCCAATGGATTGATTCTCCCTGCTGCTCTATATTTTTGGCAGATTCCCCACTTCATGGCCCTTGCATACTTCTGTCGCAGCGACTATGCTGCTGGAGGGTAAGGCAAAACCTTCTGCTGGAGGCACAATTATTTTTTGCTTAATTTTTTTATCACCATCAGTTTACTTTTTTTTCCTATTCCGTTTGTCAATATATTTTAAAAATTATTTTCTTAGTGTTTATCAAGACCTAGCAGATGTCCTTTTCCTATTGTATTTATCCATATCCATTATAATATTTTTCTTATTCTGTTTATCGGTATGTTTCAAAAATATATATTATTCCTTTTACCAATATCCGTTACAGAGTTTCCATCCTTCTTTTTATCGTTGTCTGTTAGATTTTTTTCCTTATTCTGCTTATAAATTTCTGTGACATTTTTTTTTCTTGTTCTTTTTCATTGACGTCTATTACAGATTTACTTCTTATTCTTTTTTGCGAATATATTCTGCAATTTTCATCATTATTCTTTGTATTATCGAGACCTGCTGCTTTCTTTTTCAGTTTCTCAGCATCCGCTGATATTCTTTAATTAATATTTTTCATCCATGCCTGCTGCACATTTTTTCCTATTTCCTTTATATCAATTCCTGCTACACATTTCTTCTGCTGTTCTTTTTTTATCAATTTCCGTTATTTGATTCAGGTTCAAAATGTTCTCACTCTATGATGCCTCGGGCTGGAGAACTTCTCTGGTGTCTCTCCGAAACTGCCTTTATCTCTTTCCTGCCGGATACCTGGCCTACCACTGTGAGTTGTCAAGGCTATTTTACTCTGCGTTTTTACTATTTCTACCCGCCCTTCTCTCTCTCTCTCGCCCTCTCTCGCTCTCTCTCTCTCTTTTATCCTATTACGAACCTCTTGAGATTTGGGGCGAAATCATCACCCTAATCTTACCTTAGATGAGGCTCACTCAAGGAATCAACTCTCTATTGTTTAGAAGAACCAGATTGAACAATTGAAAAATGAAAATTCGAAAGACAGTAGAGGTTCGTAGATAGTAGGGTGAGTTCCTAAGGTCGGATCAATCCTCAGGAATAAGAGAGCCCGAATCGGACCTCTCAAGGGACAGATCTCCCTCTCCACTCTCTGTTTTCTCCTCCCTTCTTATTTCAGCCTCTTCTACATTTATAGGCCTCAGTACATTATTCTGTTGTGGTTCCCCCTCCACATGGGGGTCTAAGTCGTCTTGTGTAGACGACGGTTGACTTCGTAACATTACTCCCCCCATGAGTTTCACCGTCCACAAGGTGAGATTTAGGAAATTGTCGAAGGAATGTTGATACTGTCATCCATGATGATTCAAACTATGGAAGATGTTTCCATGAAATTAATATCTCTGTGTCTTGAGGAGTCGACTGTGAGCTTTTATGCCATCTAGAATTAGTATCCATTCTTGTTCTTCTGATAGTGTTGGGGGAATTGGTTAACTTCTGTTGTCTGTTCTTAGTTTCTTCCTGAGCTGGGATATATGGAATACCAGATGAATAGCTGAATGGTCGGGCAATTGGAGTTTATATGCCATTGGTCCAATTCTTTCCATAATAAGATACAGACCAAAATAGCGAGGGTTTAACTTCTCGTTTTTCTTTTTTGCCAGAGATTTCATCTGATATGGTTTGATCTTGAGGAAGACCAAATCACCCACCTCTAATTCCACTTCTCGGCAATGCTTATCTGTATTAGATTTCATACTTACTTGTGTCTTGTGCAAGTTGAATTTCAGAATCTTAAGGATAATATCTCGTTCCATGATTAGTTGATCGATGGCATCAAGTGGTAAAGGGGATGTTCCATATTTGATAAGTTTTGGTGGGTCTCTACTATATACTGTTCGAAAAGAGTCATTTTAGTGGAAGAATGATAGGAAGCATTGTAAGTATATTCTGTCCAATGAGGTCATAATTTCCATTACTTCGATTTATCAAATACTGTACATCTCAAGTAATTTTCTAAGCACCTGTTGATGACTTCAGTCTGTCCATCTATTTGAGGGTGGTAAGAGGAGCTAAATTTGAGTAGAGTTCCCTATAGTGTGTGTCGTTCACACCAAAATGCAGTTAAGAATATTCGTCCTGTATCGGAGACCATTGTCTTTAGAAACTCATAGAGCCTTACGATTTCCTTGATGAATAATTGAGTGACCTCCTTGGCTGAGAATGGATGATATAGGGCAATGAAATGACTGTACTTGCTTAATCTATTCACTACTACTAATATGGCATTCGACCCATATGATTTCGGTAAGCTTTCAATAAAATCCATTGAAAGGTTTTCCCATATTTGGGTAGGTGTAGGCAGTGGCTGCAGAAGTCCCGCTGGGGATAGTGAAAAAGATTTGCACTGTAAGCAAGTAAGGTAATTGTTGATATATGCCTTTATATCTCTTTTCATTCCTTGTCAATAGAATTGTTGCGAAATTTTATGATATGTCTTCTGAAACTTAGAATGACCCCCACCGGGCCGTCATGAAATAATTGTAACACTGGTAATTAAAGGAGAATGTGTTGGCAAAACTAACCTTTCTCTATATAGCAAGGATCCATCCTTCAAAGAATATAATTTGTTTATTGTATCTCCTTTAGACAAGGAAGTTTTAATCTCTGTAACTTTAGTGTCTTGGTCTACTGTTAGTTGGACAGCTTCGAGATCAATGGCATGATGTGTTATTGTCTTATTTAGTTCAGCTTGCAATAATAATGTACATCGGGATAATACATCTGCGGCTTGATTGTTCTTCCCTTATATTTAATTTCAAAACTATATCCCATCAATTTCACCAACCATTTATAATATTCAGCGTGGATTTCCTTTTGTTTAAGTAAGAATTAAAAATTGTACTAGTCTGTTTCGATGATAAAATGCTAACACATAAGATAATGTCTCCATTTCCTTACTGCCAACACTATAGCCATCAACTCCCGTTCATAGGCTGATTTCAATTTGGCCTTCTTGGAAGTGCTTGATTGAAATAAGCTATCGGGTGCCCTTTTTACATGAGAACGGCTCCAACACCTGATCCAAAAGCATCAGTTTCCATGATAAATTCTTGTGAAAAATTTGGTAATGCTAATACTAGAGCCAAAGTCATTGCTTGTTTAAGGGTAGAGAAAGCTGCTTGTGTTTCTCCTAACCAATAAAATACATCTTTTCTTAATAACTGTGTTAGTGGCCATGCAATTGAAGCATAGTTGGCAATAAATTTTCTATAATATCTAGTGAGCCCTAAGAACCCACGGAGTTCCTTAAGATTTCTAGGAATTGGCCAATTAGTCGTGGCAGATATCTTCTCTTTACCGACTTCTACTCCTTCTGTCAAAACCCATGACCCAAATACTCTAGCTTGCTTTCTCCAAATCTACATTTCTTGGCATTAATATGAAGAGAATTTGTCGAGAGAATGGAAAATACCTTCCTCATGCTGCAGGTGTTCAGTCATTGTGATGCTGTACACAAGTATATCATCAAAGAAAACCAGTACGAATCACCTCAATTGACATTGAAATATTTGGTTCATCAGCAATTAAAAGGTTGCAGGTGCATTTGATAATCCGAAAGGCATTACTTTAAATTCATAATGGCCATGATGAGTTTTGAATGCAGTCTTAGGTACATCTTCTTTTTTCATTTTGATCTCATAATATCTTGATTTTAAATCTTGTTATGAAAAAACTGATTTTCCATATAATTCATCTAGCAGCTCATCTACAATTGGAATGGGGTAACAATTAGGAACTGTAGCTCGGTTCAACGCTCTATAATCTAATAATGCAGGGCTCACATAAGGATTGTGTGTAGGTTGTATGATCTCTGTTGATATGAGTTCTTGAATGAGTGTCTCAATTTCGTTTTTTTGGAAATGAGAGTATTTGTAAGGCCTCAAGTTAATAGGTTTTGTTCCTAGTAATAGATGAATGGCATGGTCAACAAGGTGCTCAGGTGACATTCCTATCAATACTTCAAAAACCTTAGGAAATTCTTGTTTCAGACTGATTTCTAAATTGTTGGGTGCATTAGGGTCGCTGTGTGAGTGAATACGATGTAATTCAACCATATATGCCTTGTTACTCTTTAAGTTCCTTCTCTGCTCTTCTTGATGATGTACTGATTTTTGTAATACTAAGGTCCCCTTTGAAGATGTGAATTTTGCCTCCCATCATGAACCTCATTATGAACTTCTCATAGTTGAAAATGATCCACCCTAAAGTTCTCAAACACTGTATGTCTAGGATCACATCCATGCCACTCAACTCTAGTGGTGAAAAATTTTGTACTATCTAAACACCTTGCACATGGAGAGGAATAGCCTTGCAAATTGTTGCACCTACCACTGTGTTGTCGTTGCCCATAACTATGTTGTAGCTATTTAACTTCTCCATTTGTAAGGATAAGTTATCAATTATTTTGGTGCACAAGAAATTGTGAGTCGCCCCACTGTCATTGAGTATTGACACCTCAGTGTCATGAATTTTGCCCCATAGTTTCATAGTCCCTTGTTGAGTAATTCCCATGACTGAATTTAAAGATATGTGTGTAGTGAAAGCCTTCTCATCCGTGTTGGATATGGCTTGATCAAATAGTTCCCATCCTTCATCAGTACTGTCATCTTCTGCACTCTTCTGGTCTTCATCTTCATCCACAATAATAAAATTCAACTTCTTTTTACAATGATGCCTTGGAGCGAATTTTTCATTGTAGTAGTAGCATAATCTCTTATCTCTTCTCTTCTGAAATTCCTGATCCGTCAACTTGTGTATCTTGCGGTTACTCAAAGGTGGCTTGGATGTCACAGAATTTCTCTTTCTTCAGATGAATCTTGATAATTCTTCCTATAATTACCTCTATTATTTGTAGTTTGGAATTCTCTTTTGTAAGAGTCATAATGAGGTTGATGTGGTTCAGGCTTTGTAATCACTTGTTTCCCATAGAATTAATTTCTGTCATTTCGGATTTTCCGAAGATGAATCTTAGCTTGGATTGATAGATCCATTGTTTTTCTGAGTCCCAAGGGCTTATGCATTGTCAATTCCGATCTGATGTCCGGTTTCAAGCCCCTCAGAAATGCATCTTCTAATACTTCTATGTTTATATGAGGTAGAAAGACTGCAATTCGTTCAAATTCGGCCATGTATTCTCTTATTGATGTGGCTTGTTGTAACCTCATTAATTGTTGCAGTGAACTCTCCATCTCGGACGTCTTGAACCGTTTATTCAATTGACTCTTGAAGTCATGCCAATCTCGGAATGGAAATCTATCTTCCATCCAGAGATACCATTCCAGAGCTTCTCCCTCCATACTCAACATAATTTGATTGAGTCTATCATGCTCTGACATAGGGTTGAGGCGAAAATATCTCTCAGCCCACTTAATCCATCCCTCAGGGCCATCTCCTTGGAAAATTGGTAACTCTATTATCTGATTTATCTGTGTTTGACCATCTTGTGAAGCTTGGCTTGAATGAGTGTTGCCATTATAAGGTTACGTCGGTTCCTCTCTTGGACCTTCATTTGGATGCAAACTGGAGTGTGGATTTCGTGTGGATAATTTCTGAAGAATCTAGTTAAGGATTTCTCTCTGCTCGATTAGGGATTGTTCTTGCTTAGCATAACCCTGTTTCAGAGATGCAACCTCTTCTTCTAACGAAGTCATCTGATGTGCCTTTGACCTGGCGAGCATCCGCCAATCAAGATAGGTTCCAAACTATATTGGATGATCGTTCTTCTTGCCGTAAATCTGCCAATCTTCTTCCAACGTCTTGACTTTGTGGAATTACGGTCGAACGAATTCGTTGTAAGAATTACCTTCATTTCTTGAATTCGTTGTAGTTCGGACTTGGAAAGAATTTCTGCTTCAACCTTATTACGGCAAGAACAGAATCTTGCTCTTGTAATCTTGTACTTGGTGTAATTTCTCCGAGTTCTTGCAAAAAAAAGACGAGGATGTCTGCTCTTGAGGTTTGGGGCAAAATCTTCACCCTAATCTTACCTTAGCCGAGGCTCACTCAGGGAATCAGCTCTTTGTTATATAGAACCAGATTGAACAATTGAAAAATGGAAATTCGAAAGACAATAGAGGTTTGCAGACAGTAGGGTGAGTTCCTGAGATCGGATCGATCCTCAGGAACAAGAGAGCCCAAATCAGACCTCTCTAGGGACAGATCTCCCTCTCCACTCTCTGTTTTCTCCTCCCTTCTTATTTCGGCCTCCTCTATATTTTTATAGGCCTCAGTACATTATTCTGTTGTTGTCCCCCCTCCACGTGTGGGTCTCGGTCGTCTTGCGTAGACGACGGTTGGCTTCATAACATATCCCTTCCAAAAGTGAGGGCAGACTCAAACTAAAGTGAAGAACTACCCAAAACAGGCCAGCCATTGGAAGTAGGCCCACCTTTGGGCTATTTTCTAACTCCACAAGAAGCCATAGTTGACCCCCGTGCTGAAATCTTCTCCGTCCACTGAGTTGTTTTATTTTTCGCCATCTGGGTGTTGGGCCTTGAAGCAGATCCCAACGTAGCTTTCCCACGTTGAAGCAACTCCAAGGTAGAGATCACCAAACATTGGTTCATATCCGTTAACTGATACATACTGGGGTGGGGTCCCACCCACAAGTATTGACGCTGAGCCACACGCAGTGCCCAAACACCCTCTCGTGGACTTTTTCTCCGGGCCCGTTGTTTTGCTCCAGGTAGCGGCACTCACATAATTTGAAGTTTGAGAATGAATGGATGGTAGCATTTACACGTCTGCAGTGCATCTGCACTCTCTAGGCCCGGACCCATCTCATGGGCTTTCTCTCTGGGCCGTTGGGCATTGTCCCAGCTGCATTCACTCTCATAATTAACTCCAATGCCCGAATCTTGGTATCATCCTTTTTTTTTTTTTGACCTTCTATCTACTATCTGTTGTGCTGATGCCGCTCTCCCAACTTTGCAGGGGGGGTCACCAGCGGATGGTTTGCTGTCGAGTCGTCGATCCTCACCGGGTGCATGACGGCGGCAGCGGTGGCGTTTGTTCTGGACCGGACCCCGAAGAAGGCTCGGAGGATGTTTCACGCCAGCCTCATCTACCTCCCCGTCTTCATGGCGGGCCTTCTCCTCCATCGGCTCCCCAATGAGCAAGAGGCCCAGCTGGCGGACTCCGGCGATTCCCATGGGCGGCTGCTCTCTGCGTCTGAAGCCCGCGTGGAGGAAGCTGGCGGCGGAGGGGTGCTTCGCGGCCCGATGAGAGCCAGGCAGAGGGGGGATCGGCCCCTCCCGCCGGTAGCCTACGCCTCGGCTGCCCCCTTTCCCTTCCTGCCGGCTCCGCTCTATGCTCCTCCGGATCCTTGACTTGAGGGGGAGGGGAAAAAAAAAGCAAAAGAAAAGGGACGGACTGCTCAGTGTGATGCTGCAAACTCAACAGGGTTCTTGAGCAGAAATCCTGCAAAGCTTTCTCCTTTCCAGTTGGCGGGCTTTTTTTTGTTATATTGGGTCATGCTTGAGACCGAACGATCTGACATGCGAGTCAATTGTAAATAAGCGAACGGCCACATGAGCGAATTTGAGCTCGTTCGGTTGATTTTTCTCTTTATTATTCGTCATAATCCTCTTTTTTCCTTCTCCAAAAATGTAGCAAGGAAGGATGTTTTGGCTGATGAACATCAATTTTCTATAGTTGATCATTATAATAATACTAACTATTATGATTATTATAATTATCATCATTCCCATTGATAATTGGGGTTGAGAACTCTTGATGACGATGATGAATGCGATTTTTTTAATAGTTTCTTCCTTGAAAATTTTATTAGGCAATAATCGGGCCCGGCCCGGGCTGATTTTACGTCTGGTTGCTGCCTTGAATCCGGGCCTTAGAGGCAAGATGGGCCGGGCCGCGGTCTATCATCGTCTTCACCCCGCCCGAGTCCTGACCGTAAATTCGGGGGTAAATAATATGATGATTAGATTTAGTGGATTCCCGGAGAGAAATTCAGCCCTCTGACTATTTTCTTTTCTAAAATTGGAATAGAAAATGAGGATGCCGTTCAAATAATTACCGGCCGATTTTTTTGAAAAAACATCAATAAATACCGAAAAATTATCCATCTGTTTTTCGCCCTCTTTATTGAGGAAATTATTCTAACCACGTGAAGATTTGAGTGGACCTAACGCTAATCTCTCTCTTTCTCTCTCTAAAATGTATGGCTCGGGTGTGGGGGCTTCAACGAGCATCTGATCCGAAAACTTGATGCTCATTTCATCTGTCGCATGATTGGTTGGCACGATCTCCCTCTCTCTCTCTCTCTCTCTTCTCTCTGTTAAATGTCTTTCTATGACGTAATGGAAAGTTCAACTAGAGGGAGGGAGCATGAATTCTCCAGAGAAACGGAGTCTTTGATGATATGCTAAACCCTTACGCGCTCGGAGCGCAGTGTCCCCTGAGTGCACTCATCCTAGCGAGAGAGAGAGAGAAAGTTGGGAGAGGGACTCAGGGAGGTGCACGAGGGCGATATGTACGTGAATATCGGACTCATGAAAGCATTGATAGCGGGAAGAAGGGCGGAGATTGAGAACTTTTTCTCTTCGGCATTGATGCATGTCACGGAGCCCTTCCCCTCTTTCTTTCCCTCTCTTCCCCCCAACCGCCTCCCCCCCCCCCCCGGAACCCCGGTCACATGAGAGAGAGAGAGAGAGAGAGCTGCTCCTACCGATTGATTACGTCCGGAGGGAGGGAGGGAGCACCCCTCTTCACGGCTTTAATCTTTTCTCTCTCTAGAATCCCTCCCTCATATATGTAAGTAAACGCCCGAGGCAGGGGAACCCAGACAGCAGCCAGCCATGACGACGGCCCCCAGGCGGATCCTGGTGGCAGCGCTCCTCCTCCTCGCCGCTGTCGTCTGCAACGGTGCCTCCGGGGAATTCGACGACGCCTTCACGACCTTCCCCCAGGGCCCCCTTCCCAAGTCCGCTGGCGGCGGCGCCGGGGGTTTCGCCATTCCCGGGTGGGCCGGCGTCGGCGGATTCGGCTTCCCCGGGTGGGCGGGCGGGAACTGGATGCCGAGCTTCCCCGACGCCGGCCACGGCGGCAGGTGGGGGGGGAACATGGGCGCCGGGTGGGGCGGCGGCGCCTTCGGTGGCGCCGGCGCCGGCGGGTTCGGTGGTATGATGAGGCCGTCGGTCATCTGCTCCGAGAGGGGGCCCTGCTTCAGGAAGAGAGTGACGTGTCCGGCCAAGTGCTTCAGCTCCTACAGCCGCCACGGCAAGAACTTCGGCGGTGGCGGCGGCGGCGGCGGCTGCACCATCGACTGCAAGAAGAGGTGCACCGCCTACTGCTGAGACCGAGTCTCACCGCACCACCACCACCACCACCACCACCACCACAACCAGACCGACCGTATTGCATGCCATCAGACAACTGAGAGGAGGAAGGAACTCTTCCTACATCATCTGACCCTCTTTCTCTCTCTCTCTCTCTAGATTATGTATCTTCCCATCACATGAAATCACTGTGTTGAGAACGTATAATGTATATGTTTTCTACGGAATAAAACGGCGGTCTCAGATTATGTACTTCGTCACTTACCATAATCGGAGTTATCTCCGAGGCGTTCAGACTCTCTCTAGACATAGAGAGAGAGAGAGAGAGAGAGATGGGGCTGTTTCGGGGACTGTCCGTTGAAAACCTCTCTCTCTGCCTGTGTCCCTCATCTTCCGCCTCGGCGCCATTACAGTGGAGTGAGAGATAAAGGAATTGGTCATCTAAACAGTAGATATATGCACAGACATACATCTAAAGAGAAAAACAGATACATATACATATATAGAGAGAGAATCAAAAAGAGAAACGGACTTCCGAGTTCTAAGCCCGATCTCCAAGAAACTCGTACCCAGCTGGGAGCGAGAGAATAGAGGAGGGAGAATAGAGAGACGGGGGGAGTCACCTCTGCTACAGATCCTCAGCTGCGGAGTCACCGGGGCCGCTCCTAGTCTCGTCGCCGGCGGCCATGCTGAACCTCATCTCCTGCTCCACCACCTCGGCGAGATCGGGTCGGCCTGCGGCTCGGTACCCTGCCGTTACGGCCTCGAAGAGCGACCTGTTCGGCGCGATCTCCCCGTGCTTGAGCTTGCCATAGATCCTGTTCAGTCCCTCCACGAAGCCCGCTCCGCCGTAGCAGACCGCGAGGCTTATGTAAGTCACCACGTCCGGCAACAGACCTTCATCCAGCATCCGCATGAACAGGTTCAGGGCCTTCCCCGTCTCCCCCCCCGCGCCGAACGCCGCGATGGCGGCGTTGCAGGCGAAGGTCCCGCCGGGCAAAGCGGCGCCGCCGCCGGCCAAGAGGAGATCCTCGCAGGACCGCAGAGCGAGCCCGTGCAGGCCCGCCGCGGAGAGCACCAGCGTCATTAGCGCCGGCCGGACTAGGGGCTTCCCGTCGGCGAAGGCCGACTCTAGCTGGGAGACGGCCTCCGGCGGCACGCCGGCCTTCCTGAGCAGGGCGAACATGGCCCGGAAGGTAGCCGGGTCGGGGGGGATCCCGAGGTTCTGCATCTGGTGGAGTAGCTCGGCGCAGTCCCTGAGCCGGCCAGCGCCGGCGAAGGCCGCCACAGCGGTGCCGAAGGAGGCACCGTCGGAGAGCAGCCCCGCTCGCCGCATCTGCTCGGCAGCGCCGGCCGCCTCGTCCAGCATTCCCATGTTCCTGTACAGGCGTACCATCGCGGCGTAGGAGGCGGCGTCGGCGCGGCCGCCGCTGCTCAGGTCGGCGAGCACCGCCCTCGCCTCGGTGACCATCCCGAGGTCGGCGTAGACACCGATCATGTAGTTGCCCGCTACCGCGTCGGCGCCGCCTTCCAGGCCGCCGATCCTCGCGTACACCCGCTGGGCCTCTCTCCAGTCCCCCGATCTACGGTGGGCCTTGATCAGGGACGTGAGGACGATCCGGTTTGCCGCCAGCCCCGAGGCCTCCATCTCGGCGAGGCGGCGGCGGGCCCCGCCGGCGTCGTCGGCGGCGGCGAGCGCGTCGATCAGCGAGCCGTAGACAACCTCGTTGGGGGGCACGCCACACCGCCGCATCTCCTCGAAGATCTCCTCCGCCGGCTCCGACATGCCCGCCCTCGCGCAGCTCGCCACCACGGCGGAGAAGGTCTCCCGCCGCGGGCTCATCCGGGCCTCCCTCATCATCCTGCCCAGGAGCTTCCCCGCCCTCTCCGGCTGGTCCCCGGCGGCCAGCATCTGGATCATCGAGTTGTAGGTGCACTCGTCCGGCCAGACCCCACGGCCTGGCATTCTCTCGAACAGGGCGCAGGCACGGTCGTAGAGCTTCGCGCGGCCGTAGGCCTTGATCATCACGTTGTACTCCGCCGCCTCCCGGCGGCGCCTCCCCTCCGCGGAGGAGAAGACGGCCTCCGCCTCTGCCCACAGGCCCCTCTCGGCGAACACGTCGGCGACGGCGGCGTAGTTCTTCGAGGAGATGGTTCTGCCGGCGCAGTGCTCGGCGAGGAACGCCGCTGCCTGCGCGAGCAGCCCTTGTTCCACGTACATCCTCGTGACGACAGGCAGCAGCTGCTCGTCGAGTGGCTCGCCGCCGGCGCGGAGCTCCTCGATCACGCCCTCCGCCTCCCGCACCATCTTCCTGCCGCAGAGCTCCCCCAGGAGGATCCTCTGCGTAGCCGCGTCCCGCCGGAGGCCGCAGCCCACGAGCCTCCGGTAGTACGCGAGGACCGCCGGGAGGTCCCCGGCGGCGGCGTGCAGGGACATGAAGATGTTGAAGGTCTTGGCGTCGGGGCGGATCCCCCTCTCCTCCATCTTCTCCAGCAGAGCCTCCGCCTCGGGGAGCAGCTCGTGAGCTCCGCAGATGTTCATCATGGTGTTGAAGGTGGTGGTGTCGGGGGTCACCCCCGAGCGGAGCATTTCCGCGAACGCCTCGGAGGCGTCACCCAGCCTGCCCGCCTTCCCGTACAGGTCGATCAGGGTGTTGAAGGTGGCGGCGAGCCGGGGCCTCCGGCGAGCCGGGGGCTCCTCCTCCGCCGCCGCTGCTGCCAGCGGCGCCGCCCTCTTCCCGCCGGAGCGGAGCATCTCGGAGAGCAAGAACTGCCGGGGGTTGAGCGAGTCGTCGGCGCCGGGGCGCCCCCCGCCGAGGAGGGGGCCCTCAAGGGCCGCCACGTCCACCTTCCCGGTGCACCAGTCGGCGAAGACCTTCTCCCCGAGATCGAACTCGCGGGAGTCCTTGAGGACCCTCACGGCGGTGTTCATGGTCACCTCGTCGGGAAACAGCCCCCGGCTTCTCATGTGGCGGAGCCAAAGAAGGGCCTCCCTCGCGAGCCCCGCCTTGCCGAAGACGTCGATGAGGATGCCATAGGTGGTGTTGGTGGCGAGGACGCCGTCCCGGGCCATGTCGATCCAGCAGCGGCGGAGCTCGTCCCACTCCTGCGCGCGGCCGAGGGCGCGGAGCACCACGTTGTAGTGGATGGGGTTGGGGAGGTAGAGCTCCCCCTGCGACCGCATCCACTGGAAGATCTGCAGAGCCCGCCGCCAGTCCCGCTGCTCCTTGAGCAGCACGGTGAGCTCCTTCGGGGTGAGCCTGCCGGCGAGGGGGTCCAGGATCTCGCGGACGCCGCCGCCGCCACCAGGCGAGTCGCCGGAGGAGTCGAGACGGCGGAGCAACGACGGGAGGGGTCCGGCGCCGCTGTCGCCCCCTTGCTTCCTGCGGCTAGGGGCCGAGACGGCGGCGGCGGCAGCGGGGGGATATGGGCGGCGCCCGGGGGGGACTCCGGTGGAGATGGAGAGGACGCGGAGAAGGGTCTCAGACCTCAGCGACGAGATCCCAGTCGGCGTGGGGCAAGGGAGCAAGGGGAATTTGGAGGAAGAAAATGACGAGGGAGAGGAAGAAGAACAGGGGTCGGACGAAACGGGAGGTTGCGGGAACCGGCGCCAACCCATCTCCAGCAACAGGGCGGGGGCGCCGATGCCGACGCCACCGCATTGGAGGATCATTGTCGGACCGGCGGTGACGGGGACTCTGGGAGATGAGAGGGCCTTCGACGGTCTGCTCCGTCCGAATCAGGCAGGACTTTTTGGACGGAAGAGTGCTCTGAAATGAGGCAGCGCAGCCTTCCAGGGGCCAGCGAGGGAACCCTAAACCCTAATATTTCCCACAAAAAATCATACCTTTGTGACGCGAGCCCACCATATATGGACCCACTTTTACTTTCCAAAGAAGCAATCCATTTGTCTCTTCTCTCTCTCCTCTCGCAGTTAAAACTTGCGCAATATCTTCTCTCTGAACCCTCCATTGGATAGCTTCAGGCCAGAGAAAAAGTCCGGCTTGCCCCCCCCCACGTCACTGCCCCTTGAGGAGTTTTATGGCTGGAGCTGGAGACTGCGGCACCGGTGTAGTTTTGCTTGATGGCGGTGGAGAGACGGCGGCATGGTGGCGCCAGCGCCCATCACTTTCTCTCTCTCCTCTCTCTCTGTCTCTCTCCCCCCCCCCCAGAAGATGGGACACCAGAGTTTTCTTAACTTCTCTCTCTCAAGAATGGACAGTAAAACCTGTTTCCCTCGCCCTCAATTTGTCTCTCACTCTCTCATTTGCCTCGCAGCAGAGACGAACACAAACAGGAAATAACTTAGCGCCGTAGCCATCAGAAATCCTTCTCCGATCATCAGTTGAATTCTCCCCTCCAATAAACACACCACAGCAGGATCCCGGGAGCTGAGCATATACACCGAGCGTCGCCTCACAGCTCACCATCCTCCGGCAAGCCCGGGCCGTGCTCCAAATCTCATAGAGATAGACAAACAGACAGATAGAGAGAGAGAGAGAGCAGGTGTAAGATCATAGTCGGGGAGTGGGCGCTCTTCTACTCCACAGAGGGAGCATCGGCGCCGCCGGTCGTGGCCGCGGTTCTAGGAGGCGCCGCCAGGCAGCGGGATATGGTGGTGATGGGAGGGCCAGGCGACGGGCTCCCGTGGGCATGGAGGCGGGGCCGGTTGGGCTATGAAGGTCGGGACGGCCTGCCCCGGCATCAACACGGAGACTTCCTGGGCGTGGACGGGCACCTGCAAGAACAAGGAGCGCCAGATCAGGGTGAGGGAAAAAGCCGAGTGATTTCACGAAGAAAGTCAAAATCCCACCCACGAGGAACAGCATTGACTTTCACATAATCGAAGTCAATGCGTCCGGGGCAGCTCGATGGAGGAGGAAGAGCCACTGACAACCCAGAAAAGTTGATTTTTGTAATGAAGAGTGTCAAACCCGTGAAGAGCAACATCAATGACTTGACTCAGCTCGCTAAAAAAGGTAGGATTTGTCTTGGTCAAATCGTCAAAGTCACCATTCCAATCATAATACACGACGAATAAGTAAACGCCCGGCCCGAGAGAGAAACTCAGTAGTAGGGCCCTCATTTTTATCCGATGATTGACTGTTTCTCCGATGTGGGTGGGAGCAACGTTCTGCTGAACCTAGCCTCCTACGATGTATGGGGGAGAGGAGGGCTCGTCTTTCCCGGGCTCCGCCATTAACGAGCTCCCGAGGTCCCCACGAATAAGCACACTCTTGACTCATTGGCCCGAGGGGATCCCCTGGAAGCACGGCTCCCTCTAGTTCACCGTAGCCCTGGAGATCGTCCTCTTCTCAGTTTTTCTACTGTAGGAAGTGTCCACTGGCCGACCGTGGATTAAAGAAAGAAGAAGATGATGACTGTTGCAGAGGAAAAGCCGGAGAAGATGGGGGAAGTGGGGTGATTGATTCCCAGAGGGGGTAATCTGAGCTAAGAACCTGAAAGAAAGGGCACGGGGAGGAGAGTAATCAGCTCACCTTGGGAGGGGGGAGCTGATCGAGCTTCCCGGCGTAGGGAGCCTGCCGGAGGTGGTGGGGTGAGTCTCCGTCGTGGAGGGGCTGCTGCGGTGGAGAATGGGGGTCGCCGGCGAAGCCCCACAGGCCGCGGTGCCACGCCCGCCTGGACGGCGGCGGGGCCCTGGGCCTGGGGCGGAGGAAGCGCTCGAAGATGGCCATGACGAGGAACATGGCGATGAGGATGGCGGTGGCCACGAAGCCGAAGGAGACGGCGTTGACGGAGCTGTCGAAGTGGCGCCACCTCTCCTCCCCCGCGGCCCCGACTCGGCCCTCTCCCTCAACGCTGACCACCGGGGGCGCCACTGCCGCCGTCGCTCTCCCCCACATCCCGCCGCTCTCCGCCATTCCCCCTCCTTTGTTGTGGGTTCTCTTCCCTCTCGCCGCGGCCACCGCTCTGTTACGCCACGAGTAGAGGGAGGGCTGGGTGGTCCTCCATGGGGTCTGCAATGGACTCTGAGGATCTGGCCGCTCAGTCCCTGTCTCTCTCCTCTGCTCCTCGGGGTCCGGCTCTTAAAATAGTCCCCATTTGGTTCTTTACGCTTTCTCTTTCGCTGAGCTGCTCTGCTTTCTTTTCCTTTCCCCTCGGTCGCAGTCCCTCTATCTCTCTCTCTCTCTCTCTCTCTCTCTCTCTCTGACCCTTTCTTTCTCACTCACTCGCGGTCTACCTCACCACCAGTCACAGATTTGCAGCCTTCTCTCTCTCTCTGTCTCTCTCTACACATGCGGAGGCCACAACTCCAGAGTCAGGATGGGAGAGGAAAGCAGGATGAGAAAGCGAGACGACCATATCCACGGCTTCGGGATGGCCTCCTCTCTCTCTCTCTCTATCCTCTCTATCTCGGCTCAATACATAATTTTCTTGAGATGGCCTCCCCCGGTGCGGCACACAACGATCGATGAAAAATGTCCATTTCTAAGCTTATTATAATCATTGCACACTGGCCCTCTCCCCCTCCGTCGATCCGTATCTCTTCCCTCTTTTCTATATCTGACTCTCTCTTCCTCTCAGTACACGTCTTCCCCTTTCCCACGCTCGTCCTACCTTATCTCGCTTTGTCTCTCTCCTCGCTCCCCCACTCCCCCGCTCGTTCTTCTCAATGCATTTGTTTCTTCACCCCCCTCCTCTCTCTCTCCTCTCTACTGTAGGCCCAGCGAGAGGCGGTCTTACGTCACTTACTCAGGTCACGGGACCTGAACAGGGATTAATTCTACCAAAAATCCTTCTTTTGTCTTGAAAAAGATTGGAATTTTGTCCCTTGCGGGGCAGGGGCTTCCCTGTCGGATCGGCCTTGAAACCGCACTTCTCAGTGGATTCATGAGGAAAGGCGGAGGCGGGGCCCGTGGGGCTCGGCCTCACCACTATCACTCCGGCAGGCGACGCCGTGGAGGGGCAGGGCTTCCTGGTATCCGGGGTCAACGTCTCCCACACTTCAATCTTCTTCTCCTTCCTCTTCCTCCCCTTCTCCGCCTGCGCCTTTTGTCTTCTTGGCCACTCTGCCATCGGCCGGCGGCGGCGGCGCCGCCAGGCAATCGGCTTTTCTTCTTCTTTGACGAGAATAGGGTCTCGGATCCGGTGGCCAATTGAGGCTAGGTGGTGGCGCGGCAGGAGAATGGTTGAGCGCCCTCTTCCACCGGTTCTCGAGGCTTCGTCGTCTGAACATCAGAAGCCTCTAGGCTTTGGCTCAATGCAGGTAAGATCATCCATTCTTTGTTTCTCCATTCCTACCCAGAATTACCAGCTTCTCTCTCTCTCTCTCTCTCTCTCTCTCTCTCTCTCTCTCTCTCACTCACTCACTCACTCACTCGCCAAGTTTAAAGAGCAGCATATCACAACATATTTGTTTCCCTTTGGTTCTGAAATGTAAATACATTCCTAGTGACGGGCGGCATACTTCAAAGCTCCATGTCCCTCGTCTGCTTCTTGCAGTAAGTAGGGTGCAAGCTGAGGGAACCCCCCAGCCTGCTTGGGCACAGATGAAGAGTGACTTCATCTACTTGGTCTCTGAGGCCCTTGGATCTGAGCGGGTTGTGCAAAGAAAACTCGAGCTGAGACGGAGGACGACGCAGCATGGAGCGATGGGGTTGAGAATGGGGCCGACGACGTGGAGGAGATGATGGCCAGACGCTGGAAGGCCCGCCGGCGCACCCCGAGAAGCGATTGAACTCATTTAGATCCAGTGGACTGAATAGGATACTTGTTAGGATCTGCGCGGCGATTCCACGGGCAAACCCTCGGAAAAACCTCCGAGCGGGGAACGGATGTATCTCTACATTCTTTCCTCGCATGGAGAACACTCTATCGAGGAGCTCAAATCCTAACAAGTGGTATCATAGCTGTCGTGATGGCGTCCTTCCTGCACGGCTTCTTCCATGCCGACGCCGTTACGCACGACTCTGCGCAACTTCGCGCATCTTCGACCTCCCGAGACCACATCGCCTGGTCGATCCGCGACCGTCGTCGCCCAGCCACTCCGCGAGCATCCTCCCCTGGGTGTCCAGCGAGCGTCCCCGCTCAGGCCACCTGCGACCGTGTCACACAGGCAACTCCGCAACCGTCGTCGCCCAGCCACTCTGCGAGCATCCTCGCCTGACTGTCCAGCGAGCGTCCCCGCTCAAGCCATCCAGCGACCGTTGTCGCCTTACTGATCCGTGAGCGGTCCTCACGCCGGCAAAGTTCCGCGCCGTACCAGTGTGCATCGCTTGCACGCTCTCCTCACGGGGAACTCCCACTGTCTGACACAGTTAAGTGCCAAAGCAGCACAACCGCCAGTGGGGCTGGGCTTCGGTGCCGCGCTTCTCATGCGGCTCCTCCAAATGTGATGGCGCCGCTCCACACGACACTGCACGCCACAGCGCGCCTCCAGCCGTGTCGGCACCGTTCAGTACAGCACTGCACGCCACCGCGCGCCTCCAGCCGTGTTGGCGACGTTCGGCACAGCATTACGCGCCACCGCGCGCCTCCAGCCGTGCCGGCACAACTCCGCAGGGTACCGTACGCCATTTCCCGCCTCCAGCCGTGTTGTCACCGTTCAGCACAATACTGATAGACCTTGCATTTAGAGACAATAGTCTTTTCAACTGATCCTCTGAAAAAATCTTGAATTCTTTTCGGTTTATAAGGTCCATTTGCTATCAACCTCTATTCACTAAAGTCTGTGACATGAACGTCTATTTTCATGAGGGTTTTTAAGTTGGTATAATTGATTTTACTAAATATGGGGGTCTATGTGTGAATGTTTGTCTACAAAGTTGCTTCTTGAACTGTTAAATATAAGATTGTCACTTCCTATACAATATCTCACATACCCACTTACTCGTCTTACTTAAGCATCGCTATAGTTCAAGAGGGGGGATTGAATTGGTCATTTTACATTTATTCTTCATAGCTTCCCATTAGATAAAGACAATGAATGCTTAAATATGCACAATTTAGTTTGGTTCAATCATTTTTTTTTACGAGTGAAATACACTAAGTATAATGGCTTCAACATGCCTCCACTGAATAGACAAGCCTTAACAAGCTTATATGTTGGATATTATGACTCCACTGACCAATTGGTGAATGAAAATAAGAACAAACCTATAGCTTTAAACGAAAATAAGAACTGTTTGATATTCTTACTGATTTAACCCATATCATTTTTCATTTGTATTCCTCACTCTTAGTTGAGGAAGTGTCTTATATAGGTTGGAGTCAAAGAAGGCTTGAGCATAATGATTTTGTTTTTTTTTTAATGCTCAAGAATGTGCTTTCTTAGCTTGACCTCATGGAAGGAAGAAGGTCAACATGGATGCTTTATGTCTCTCAATTTCTCTTTCTATTTGACTAATACTCTAATGTGGGCTGAAGCGTTATTGGGCCATTCAATGGTCGTTGCAATGCTAGATAAGTCTATTTTGGAATCACATCTACACTTGAAATTCAAACTCTAAAAATATTCATTATGTGAAGAGAAGGGCACCGTAAACCTTTGAAATCTTGAGTGGGAAAGGGACACCATACAAGGGTTATAGTGGCCCTAATGGGCCCTAACAGGCCAGGTCCATAGTGGGCTGATGACACAATCTAACACCTCTCAAGCTAGAGCATATAAATCAAACATGTCTAGCTTGGTTCTCAATGAGTCATAGAAAATATTGCTAAAACTCTTGGTGAAGATGTCGACTAGTTGATTGGTCAATGACACATGTGGAGTGGTGATAATGTTCTTGAGAACCTTGTCTTGAATAGTGTCACAATCAGTTTTAATGTATTTGGTGCATTCATAGAAGGTGAGATTTGTTGCAATGAAGATTACAGCTCGATTGTCGTAGTACATAGGCATCAGAAGTAGTATCAAGACCTCCAATTCATATAAAAGAGATCATAGTCATACCATCTCATCTATAGTATTAGTCATCACATGGTATTCTATCTCAACACTAAAGTGGGAGACAACTCACTACTTCCTAGAGCACTAAGTAACTAAGTTGTTGTCAATGTATATGTAATAGTTGGTAGTTGACTTGTGATCATTTGATGTCCCAAACAGATCTTGTCACCCGCAAATTTGGCATAAGAGTAAGCCTCAATCTTGAGATGTCCATAGCGCTAGTAGAAAAGCCCCTTTCTAGGCACTCATTTGATGTATGCAAGAATATTGAGTGCTCCTTTCATATGTACCTCTTGAGGTCTCTACATGAATATGCTAAGAATGACAACTATATAAAATATGTCTAAACAAGTGACAATGAGATAGAGTAGTTTGCTGAGTAGAAAATGATATCGATTGATGTCCTCTAATTTGGGAGAATCATCTTCCAAAAACTTAGGCTAAGCCTCCATTAATAATGAAGTAGGTTTACACCCCAATAACCTTGTCTCTTGAAGAACGTCCAACCCATATTTTCTTTGGGAAAGGGTAAGTTTTTCTTGACATTAGGCAAACTCAATCCCCAGAAAATACCACATAGTGGAAAGATCACCTTCATCGGTGATCCGTAGGAAAGTCGTGATTTAATCAGATAAAAATATGAATTTTAGTTCTAGTAGGATTCGAACCCATGCCGATTGTCTACTTGTATGAAAGAAATTGAAATAAGTACTCTAATACTCTTATAAAGTGATGTCATTATGATATATCTATGTTATAACTAAGGGATATTTTAGGTAATAAAATAATCAAAACTATTCTAGGGAAGGTGTGACTACAAGTTTAATCACACATCAGTTGTACGGCAAAGTTTTGGACGAATATATAATAATATCAAATTTCGAAGCAATGAGTTACTTTCTCGCATGTATGACCACTCTTTGCCCCATAGTCGGTTGGCTATTGGTGACGTGGAAGTTTTGGACATGACCC